GCACATCAATTGGCTGGCAGAGCGAGGCATTCAATGCGTGAACTCCACTATGCTCGCTCAGGGTGGGAAGTACGACAACTACCACCTACATGACCACCAATTCAATCGGAAACTGGTCTACCGCTTCTTGAGAGGTGCGATTACCTTCCACCTCAAATATGTCGAGCTCATGTCGAAGAAGGACGAACTCAAGTACTTTGTGAACTAGTTCATCAGCAACGAGCAAGACCGTGTGGCCGCGGTCCATCTCTTCCCAACGATGGTTCAATTCCGTCTGGCTTTACTCGGCACTCAGGAAGTCATGGAAGCCGTCTCCACCGAGAAGAAAACGGCAACCCCTGCCCAGGTCTTTGACGAGGCGGATGAGGAGATCCTCATGTGGGTCCATGCAGGAATTCTTGAGGCGAACGAGGAAGCCACCCGGGAGGGACGGCCGAAGCCCACTGCTTTCACCGATGAAGAGATCAGCTCCATTGTCCCCGTTGACCCAACGGTCGAGGACTATGAAACCGAAGAAGTCAGGGCCCGACAATATCTTCAAGAAGATTTGAATCAGGCTGTTGCTGATGGTTTCTCAACCACGACCATTGAGTCGATCGAGATCAACCCGGAGAACACTGATGTTGATGACGATGTTGAGGTTGTTCCCGAATATGATGAGTGGGACGTGATTCTTGATGAGAAGATCATTGTCAATCCCCATGACGAGAAGGTCAAGGAAGATGCTATCTCGGAGGAAAGAGCCAAGGAGGTTGAAGATCTCAAGAAGATCATTGAGATCACATCCACTGAGGCGAAGCCTTCGGGAACGACGGCCGTTGTTCATGCTGCCGCAAAAGAAGCACTTGCCAAGGCCGACAAGGAGGGGGAAGACATGACTTCATCGAGAATTTCAACATGGAGCGTGGCTGGTGATGATGACTCCAAGCCCAGCGACATGACATCTTCCAGGATTTCAACTTGGACTGAGGTGGGTGGATCCGAGGCCACTCCCATGGACGTTGACACCGGGAAGAAAGAGGGTGCTGATGCCGCCCGGGAGGGTGTGCCGACTGATGCTGCGGTTCCTGAGGCTTCTGCTTCGTCTGAACAGCCTGCTGACAAAACTGCCATTGTTGACCTGACCCAGACCGAGAAAAAGGCGGAGGTTGACAAGCCAGTTGGAAAGCCGGCCGAAAAGAAGTTGCCAAAGAGCGAAAAGCAAAAGGCGCCGGAGTCAAAGGCGATGCCCAGACAGAAAGCGCCACGACTCAGTGTCGAAGCTGATGCAGCTCTTCGCAAACTTGAAGAAGCAACAGAACGCCAAGAGGGAGCAGTTTGGTTGGACCCCAATGACATGGCCAACAGCATTCCCAAGGAGTATTGCGGCCAAGGGCGCCTGAGATTTCTTTCAACAAAGTTATCTTACGTTCTGAGGGGACATGCATTGAGCTATGGTGCTCGCAGCCCGGACATCGATCCCATGGATATGTCCATGAATTTCGATGCCGTGATGAAGACCATGGCCCACTACGTCTCCTACCCGAAGGTGAGTGAGGTCCTGTCCATCGTGCGCAACAGTGACACCAGGCGCTTTCAGGTGAAAGTGGCTCAGCCTGACTTGCCTGATGCAACCTGGAAAGGTTTGCCATGGAAGGTTGTTGCTATCCGAGCTGTCCAAGGACACAATCGTGCCGTCGTGGAAAATGCCAAAATTTCCTCGCTGGTGAAGCAAGTGTTTACTTTGGACCCAACCTTTACCAAGGAAGACCTCGACACGCCCAAGTTGCCCAGGACCAACCTTCGTCCAGATCTGGTGCCTGAGATGCTGGCTGCACTTCCAAGGGTTATCTACCATAGCTGCGAGCGTCTCGCTATGGAAAAGATAGTTGAGCACGGTCTCATCCCAGGTGGCTGGCCCCAAAGAACGGGAAGGGCGCACAATTTCTTTATCGCGTCACACCCGTGGGATGACTCAGTCGGGGGAAAGAAGCTGGCGGGAACGCGAGCCGGAAAGTAATATTACATTGCCTTTGACACCGAGCTCATCGTCCAAAGCGGCTTCAGATTGTTTCGCGCAGACGAAGCAATCATTAGCCCTGACTGGGTATCCAACGAGAACATCATATGCACATATGATTCCATCAACCGGGAGTTCGCCTGGGTCAACCGCCCCTACGAGATCACTCGTGTCGGGTACAACTCCAAGATGAAGACCCATCGAGACCAGGACACTCCGAAGAGAGAGGCATTGTCAAAGAGCCCATATGCCAACGCCAGAGACAGTTTGAAGGCGTACCTCATGAGCGGCAAGTCCATCCGACCTGGTGAGATGCAAGTGACGGATTCTCCGGAAGAGCTTCCCCCGCTTCTTCGTCGACGAGAAGGAACTTCAGGACCCTTTGAGGACAAGTTGACGTTGAAGATGGCCTCCTTTGGTGCCTTGTCAAATGCTGAGACCATTCGCAAGGGCAAGGGCCGAGGAAAAGGCAAAGGGAAAGGAAGCCGCCCGGGAGGGCAGGCCCAGCGCTCAACCAATGCTGAAGATTACATCTACAGCACAGAACTTGAGATGCAACAGGTCCGATGCCACTTCTGCGGCGAGAGGAACATTGAGGGCACTCACAAGTGTCAGTCATGCTTCAAATGGCTGATTGCGTGGTCGGATGGAAGAATCGCAACAGAGGTATGCCGGATGGAAATCTCGGCCAAGAAGACCAACAAGGTGTTTTCTCTGGACAAAATCGATTTTGAGAAGCAGCCTCGAGCTCAGCGAGTTTCAGACCGCACACGAGCGGACCAACGTCGAGCTGGACGAAGCAATTTCGGAAATCTCAAGGACGCTGCTCAGACACATGCGGGAAGATACACAAAGCTCGGCTTCAAATCGATCCAGGACCGCATGGAGAAGGACCCATTTTATTTGTTTAACAATGCGGTCGGCCAGATCACCCCTGATTGTTGCCAGTTCTTGGAGGACTTGGCAAAATGCATTGCCCCTGATGTCGGCCGTACCCGAGAGAAGCGAGAAAAGCAGCTGGGAACAGGTGTCAGCACTCGTTTGATTTTTATGCCAGACTTCAACAGAGATATCCGACTTCCACTGGATGTCACAAAGGAAGCCATGGTGGCACATCATGCTCGAGTGTTTACACTTCCTCAGTTTGCCGTTCTTGCTGCGGACTTGCTGAAAGCGAGGGGGGAACCCACGCCGATGTTATTTGGTTGGTCAGGCTCCATGATGCCTGTTGATCAACAATCTGCTCAGGATTGCTTCTTCGACCTGGTCGACTTTGCAAAACGTCAATGGAAGGAGCAGTATCATAACATCAAGGGCGAGGAGCACTCCTTTGTGGAAGAGGCCACGGCATCAGATGTGGCTGAGTTCCCATTGGCGAGGTCCACAAAGACGGGTACTGGCGAAGGGCGAGAAGGATACCGGCGTCACTTTGACCCGATCCAGAAGCCGGCCAAGGGCAAAGGCAAGGGTTTCGGTCAACAGCAACGTCCAATCTTTCAGCAGGCCATTGAGTGCTGGAAGTGCGGTCAGTATGGCCACAAATCCTTTGAGTGTCGCAGTGGATGGAGCCGACGGCAACAATGGGATTCGTATGGATCTTATTCAAGCCGCTCGGGAGGGCAGGCCCAATGGCAAAGCTGGAATTGGAGACAGGGCTACTCTGGCAAGGGTTGGACAGCTGATGACTGGGGAAGATCTACTGCATCAAGTTCCTCGGCAGCGCCCCCAGAGCCGGTGCACCCACCATCGACAGCAACGCCTGTGCCTGATTCAGCCCCCACTGCTGGCGCTCCTGCCCACACAGCCACTGGATCAGCTCCAACTACGGAGCAACCACAGCAGGTACCGCGAATGCCACTTGTGATCGCAGAAGAGTACTGTGAGATCAACGGCCAGCCGCACTTCAAGCGCACCTACAATGATGGGACGGTAGAGTATGAGTCGTGGTAGGTGTTTCACATCATGTGCCATGATTTTATGCCTGCCGGAAGGTTTGGCCGATTGGATGAAAGCTGACCCATGGTCATTCAGTTCAATCGAATTGCACACATCTTCAAAAACATGAAACTCCAACTTGATCAACTTGAAAAACTTTTCCCAATTGATTCAAAAGAGTTTGACATCAGCATCCGATCCTTTGCAGTAGTTGCACGTGTACAGATGCCGGGTAGGTTAGCCTGATACAGTAGTTTCCGTACCAAAGGCAAGTGAAAGGAATGGTAATGTTCCTATGCCTTGGCGGAAGCCAGGCCAACTTCACTTTTGTATCTCTTCAAGCACGTGCCATGCCCTGGATTGAAAAATGCTATGCACCCGAATCTCTCCTTTTGCCTCATGCATTCGAGCTAGGACCACATAGCACAGATGGTAGGTAATCATGTACAGTGATGTCTTGTTTCAACCCGTCCGCTCTCAGGTCACTTCTGGCGTTCGTGGTTGGCCTTCCGTCCTCCGCGGGAATCTGCGGGCGGCGGGGGGTGTTTTTCATGTATACTACTGTACATATACCTTAATTCATCCATTACTACGCTGTGCTTATGGCTCAAGAAACAAGCGCGTAATTGCTGTTGTCTTTAGGCTGTTGTGCCTGTAACACATATATATATATATACACAATATATCCAATATATACAATATATACAATATATACAATATATACAATATATACAATATATATACAATATATATACACAATATATACAATATATACAATATATACAATATATACAATATATACAATATATACAGTATATACAATATATACAATATATACAATATATACAATATATACAATATATACATGTAAAATAGTGAAAATCATCATGTTAAATCATCATGACTCTTGTAAAGATCAAGAATTCCGTAAAACTCCATACATGTATATATATAATTATACAAATAAATCCACATAAATCTATGTAAATCCATAGAAAACCATATAAATCTGTATAAATCCAATGTTTTTGTGGCTGAAACCATCCATCGCTGATTTTCACCGGAGGTCGTAGGCATCTTCGACCACGGTCAGCGCTTCGGAGGTCTGCAGCCGCAGCCGTTGGAGCCGTTTGCGTCGCGGTTCATGGTGCCTGGGCTGTCCGGTTTTTCTTGGGGAGTTTGGATGGGATTACCCTCTGGTAAACATACAAAAAACTATGGAAAATCATCATGTTTAATGGGTTTTTCCATATAAATGGCAATTTTCAATAGCTATGTTAAATTTCAGGAGGGTAACATCTGGGCAAATTATAAGGAACTCACTGCGACTGAACCCTGGAATCATGATTTTTCTTGGGGACCCTTGGTCACAGCACTTTCAGTCAAATCGGATATGGGAAACGAAACACGGATTTTTTGGGGTCGAGTGATGTGAAGAATTACCAAGCTCTGATGATGTTTTATGCAATTTATGCCGTAAATGCCTTCCTAGTATTTAAGCCCATATTGCATGGAAAATGATTCATGAAAGTAGATGACTCACCGACTACCGCAGATTTTCAGGGCCATGTACCAGAGGGTATGGGTATTTACTGTCACTTATGAGCATATGATCTGTGTATATATATATATACATACGTAGATAAACAATTATTTTTGAATGATTCATATTGATATTACTGAATATTAGACTATAGATTGTCTTAGTGGGTATGAATTTCTTGTCAACAATATGATATCTGTGTCTGAAAAGGGGGTGAAAAAAACACCATAACAGTTATAGACGGTTGTTGTTTTGAAACGGGGGTCGTACCGGATTCCACCGTACGTGGTTGGGAAGAAAATCCGAACTCAGGCAGACTATGATTTTAGGTGTATGTTATACCCTCTGGTTTTACTGGGATACATGGTGGTTTTTTATGGGATTTAACCAACAAAAAATGGTGGTTTTAATGGGATATACCCCCTGGTAAACATACAAAAAGCGAACTTGAACATGGCCCAGTCGAAATAGTGAGTTTTCCCATTTTCATAGCATGGGTGGATCTTTCCTTTTTTCGTTGTTTATTCGTTTATCGGTTTACCGGTCGGCCGGGTAATAAATCTGTTCCAACCGTAGATGGGATGCGATGGGATGGCAGATGTCAGGGTGATAGGGTGGGGATCACTCGAAGAAACTAATACTTTTTGAGGGAAATTTTAATCATTAATCCCAAAATCATGTAGATATAGGATAAGAACGCCCGCTTCCTATCTCAGAACTGGAAGGAAAAGGATTGTCTAAGCAACAAAAATATGGCGCAATTGACTGGCTTCACCGGGCAAAATTGTGGATTTTCGTAGGTTTGATCTAGATTGGGTCATATTTTCCCATATGTGCATGTAGCCTCCAACAAAACGGGTGTATTAAGCGTCAACAGTGAGAGTACAACCCAAAGAATGATGGCTAGCTGGGGGTCATTCCACCCCAGCAATGCAGGGATTCAGGGTGTGTCAGAAGGCAGCCTCAGTAGCCAGTGGAAGCGATTAACTACCACGAGACAATGATGATCCCAAGCTTAATGGCACCCTGCACGAAACGAATCCGAAGGGCAAAGGCATGATGCCCCAGTGAAACTCTGGGTAAGTCAGGTCACCTTTGCCGGCCAAGAACTTTTGGCAGACGATGTCCTGCATGCCTTTGCCAGGCAACATGGGGAAGAGACGCGGTACGAATCCCATGTTTATCCCGTTATTTTGTTTGGGTTTCATTTCAATCACAATACTGCTGGGAATTTCGCAACCATACTGTATGACGAAGTCTGAGACATTTTTGGAGGGGTTCGATGGTTTTCCTAATGACCGGAGGCCTTGGTCGAAAGCACAGTGGGTTGGGGGGTCGATATGACCTGGCTTCGAAATGGATCTCACTAATTATTGTGGGTCATACCATCCAATGTTTTGTTGGTTAAGTGCAAGTCTTCTACCGTTTATTAACTTTATGTCCAAATCGGCTTGGTCAATAGATGAGGTTTGTTTACCAGTGAGGTTACATGTTCATCTAATCCATTTGGCATATAACCCACGAATGACACCCATTCATATGGCCCATATACAAACCATATGAAGCAAATAAGAGATTCTTTGTAATCTTTATATAGCCGGGCTTCTAAGATACCACCTTGTCGCAACATGGGGTTCATTGATAATCAAATCACAGTTAATTATACAAATAGTCTCATATAGTTATACAGTATGACACATAATATATGATATGATGTATACATAATATAGTAACACCAAAGTATGGAATAAGATACATACTGTTGATAATATGTATGATATAATATATATATACATATTCCCCATCAAACATTGCCATAGATTGAGACTCCGTCCATACATAGTTGCAAGGAAGTGATCCGCCAGTATACCTAGTTACCTACTGTAGTTGGTGTATAAACCTGAACCAAAGCAAGTTACCATGGAGCATATATGATTTCTCACTCATCCAGCCGGGCTGTAATCCATATATATATATGCACATACTATACCCTCTTTGGCAATTTAACAACGCTATTGAGCATTGCCCATTTAGTTTGATGATTTACGTATGACACAATGGTGACTTTCCATAGCTACGTTAATTTGCCGGAGGGTGCAAAGAATCATATATATATATCCCATATACGTATCTACGTATTTTACACAGCCCGCAAACAAATAGGTCCTATACAACCCACATCTATCTATATATCTAACATATTATATATATATGTAACATCACATATATACAGTATATATAACATATTCTATATATTATAACATATTCATACATAACACATTATCTACATATATATATATACAGTATATATATATATAACCCACATATCACCCATCACTGGTCATATTCCGCCAGGCATTTGGGCTCCTCAAAGCTGGTGGTCGCGGTGACCAGCGACCGGGCGCTGCGGCGCAACGCCGCTGCCGGCGGGGAAGAGACGCCCCGGGCGCAGCGACTTCGACGTGGATCCCTGGGGGAAACCAATGGTTACCCTCTGGTAAACTAACAGTTTGCTATTGAAAATGGCCATTTATAGTGAGTTTTCCCATTAAAAATGGTGATTTTCAATAGCTATGTTAGTTTACCAGAGGGTAACTGGGAAAAACGCGAGGAAAACATGAGAGTTTTGGGGATTTAGCTATGGAAAAAAGATGAAAAAAGGGAACGGCATGGGAGAATAATGGATCATATGGGATCAGAAGGTATAATCGTGGATCATAATGTAGTTCTACTATCAATAAATCGGGATATCATGGGATAATATGGGAGTTAATAGCAACACAGGAATTTTTTGGGGTTAAGTGATGAATATGGGATACACCGCTATATATCATTGATATTATATATATATATACTATTTGTATTATGGGATATGTTTTTGGATTGAGATATTACCAAGAATATGGGTTCATATAGGATATATGGTCTAAGGGGTACAGGACATGTGGGATGTATGTATATGATATGATATGATATGATATGATATGATATGATATGATATGATATGATATGTGTGTATATATATATACATACATATGTGATATGATCGCAGGAAGTTTTGAAGTCAAACTTCCGACACTATGGACAGATGAAGCAGCAGAGGTGGGAAGAGTCAGAGAAGAGAGGACAGAGAAAGAAGATCAGAGAAGAGAAAGAGTCGGAAGAAAGAACAGTAACATGCGCGAAAAGGTAGAAAAAGTCGCGAAACATTGTGTTTCCAATGTTTTGTGGCTCCGTCAGGAGGTTCGAAAAGTAGGCTCGCTAAAGCGGCAGGTGCGGAGCCATCTGGTCGGATGAGAGATGAAAAATGCAAAACACCTCGGGCGCGGAGCACTTTTGGAAGTCAAGATGTTCAAAACAACTCGGGGTTCGGAGCACTTTTGGCAGGTGAGCTTTTGAAAATGTGCATGCGGCTGCGGCGTGAAGCATATTTCGAAGTCAAAATGGTAAAAGCACACCATTGTCCACGCAGCTGTGGTGCGAAGCACATTTCCAAGCCAAAATGCTAAAAACCCTACAGTGTCGGAGCACTTTTGGAAGTTGAGCTGTTCAAAAAGTGCGCGCCGCAGTGGCGCGAAACACATTTTCAGGTAAAAATGCAAAAAACACCACAGTTCACATGTTCGGGCCACTTTTGGAAGTTAGGATGCCGAAAAATGCTCGCGGTTATGGCGCTACATTGTTCGTGGCACGGGCAAGGGACAAGGGATCCTGCACCTTGCCGAAAGTGAGCTAAAGGTGAGGGTTTTGCAGCAGTTTCAAAAACGATGGCAGGCGTGGGTCGTTTGAAGAGGACCTGGACTACAATACATTACAACTACAACTACACAACAATCACAACTACAACTACAGCTACAACTGCAACTGCAGCTACTAACTACACTACACTACACTAGATTACCCTGCAGCACACTGCGCTACAACTACACTACAACTACAACTACAACTAGAGTACACTACAACTACAATTACAACTACACCTGCAAATACAACTACAACCACACTAGACTAGACTACAGCTACAACTACAAACACAACTACTGCAACTACAACTGCAGCTGCAACTACAACTACACTACACTGGACCGCACTAGACTCGAACTACACTACATTGCACTCACTACGCTACACTAGAGTACACTGCACCAGAGCAACAGCAACTACAGCTACAACTACAGCTACGACTACAACTACACGACACTACACTAGAGATAGATAGATAGACAGTTAGATAGACAGAGGGAAAGATAGAGGTACACAGAGAGAAGGTGACAGAGAGATCTACAGGTTTCCTATCTTTGAAACTTCCGCCACCGCCTTGTGTGCGGTACTACTGGTATATGTATATGTATATGTATGTGTGTATGTGTATGTATATGATTATGATATGATACCAGAAAAGTCCGGCAAACAGTGACGTATTATAGTGAGACAATGTGGGATGCATGTATAGAAAAATATGGGATTTATCACACCGTTGTGTGGGATATGGGATATGAATGAGGACATGGGATAATATGCGATATTTGATTTGGGGCATATATGTATACAGGAATGGAATATAGTTCCTCAAGATGGGAAACGATAAGAAATGGACATGTAACCCCCGTTGTTTTCTTATGTTTTCTTCGCAAATTTTCAGCCGACAGGTCAAATTCCAGCTATTGGGTGAACACCAGGGACATCTCCAGGATGAAAAATTCAAATGTGGGCGTTTCCTGCTGATTTTCGGTTGTTTAATGTTGTTTATCATAAAATAAGTTGTCTTTTCGTTTTTTTTAATATGTTTTTATTGCGGTTTTGGGCCTCATTTCGGACCTATTTTCGGCTGCTTTTCGTCAACTTTCTGGAATCTATCAAAAAATCGAACAATTCAAAAAACCTACGTTTTTATCGTTTTTTAATATATTTTTTGGTTTTGTATCAATGTGTTTATATATTTTTTAATCATTTTTTTCAGTTTTCTTTCCGTTTTTTTGCCGTTGAGGTCTGTAGATCGAACTAAAGAGAAAACCAATTGGAAACCAAACTGACAAAAAACATAAACTGAAAACCAAACCGGAGAAAAAACTGAAAACCAAACTTAAGATCGAACTGAAGAAAACTGAAAAGATAAATACATCAAAATTTCCAATCTCTGGCCAGCAAAGAATCTCATAAGATTTTCCTTTCGACCCATTGAATTTCCACAGTTTCTGGAACTGGGGGCAAAATATAGGAGTTTGATTCGTATTTTTGAGGGACCCTTCATGGCCTTGACAGGATTTGAGACCAAAGAACTGATTTCACTGGATCGTCCGTCATTTTTTTGGGTGTTTTTCTGCTGACTTTTGATGAGACTTTACCAGAAAACATGGTGAAATTGATCAGATTTTGCCATGAATTGCATTGTAAGATACTGTACGTATATCCAAATTTCCTACGGAACGTGCTGATTTTGGTAGCTTTTCAGTCAAGCATGTTGATCTGACTTGATTTCACAAACATGGCGATTTGATGAGTGGTTTGATTTGATCCTACCAACAAAGGCAGCAATTTGATGTGGTTTTACAGTCAGCGTCGTCATAGGATTTCACTGGCAGAAAATGCAAAACAACAACAAAACCAAACATGCCAGTGATCCAAGCGAAGTTTGCACAGAGGTAACCTCAACAAAACATATTAACATTCATTTTTCATTTGTTGGTTGTGATTCGCAACTTTGGGGTGTTTCCTGATCTTGATATTGCCAGAATTTGCGAATTCTATACCCATGACACGCGAGAGTCACTGGTTGGGTTTCGGCGGTTATAGCATTTCATACCCCTTGACATTACCGTATGAAATTGAGTTGTGAATGGGTTGGGAATGGCATGGATTGCTGCTTGGATTACTACTTGTTTTTGTACAACAAACATTCTAATAGTCGCAACAACTTTATAGCTATGGTCACTTTGATATCCTTTCAGGCGGATTTGGCAGGATCATTTTTGTCGATCTAACCTGGCAAGTCGTCCCACAGATTTCTTATCGAAGACATCCTTTACTTTTTCCTTGGCCATGTTGGATTACCAGAGGGTAACCAGCTCCCGTCCCCATCATTTTTACCCTCTGGTAATTTAACGTAGCTATGGAAAATCATCATTTTTAATGGGAAAATCCACTATAAATGGTCATTTTCAATAGCTATTTTGACATAACCAGAGGGTAATGATTCTTTGATTTCGATTTTCCCAGCTTCAAACTTCCATTTGGTTCCCATATCTTTCCGCTGGGGATTTTTCCAGCCCTGAGGTGGCGCCGCTTCCGCGCTTCAACGCGCGGCTTCTCTCTTTGGGTGAGTTTGTTCCTTGAAACTCCTGTTTTTTTTTTGGGTGAAACGAATGGTTTTCATCCTTTTTCTCCAACACCAATGGGTTTTACCACCGAACGATAAGGTCGAGTTGGGAAAACCGATAGATAGGAAACCATGGCTTTTGAATGTTATTTGAACCGGGGGTTTTAAACATGTTTTAACCACCACGTATTCAAAGATAATGTTTCAGTTGTCATAGGGTTTTAACAAATTTTATGAATCAAAGCTGGGAGGTTAAGAATGTCAACGACAAACATCGACAAACCATCTTCATCGGAAATGGTGGTTAGCATTTTTTTTTGGATATCATTTGGCAAGATGGATATATATATATATATATATGATGACCTACAACTTTCAGCAAGAACTGTGATTGTGTTCCACTGAATCACTGGAAGAACCATGGTTCTTCCAAACCCGGCCGAAACGATGGTGGCCCAATAGCCGATGATGGGGCGGCGCTTTTGGTGCTCCAAACCGGCAAATGATCGGAAACAGGAAGAAATGAACGGGATCCTACAATATCCTACATATATATATAATTATATAATTATATAATTATATATATATATGTTTGACTTTAGCCAACGCCCCAAAGGTATCTGGGCTGTTGGGAGTAAGCCTGGCGTCGTCCTCCTTTTGGTTGTGGGTCAATGTCGTCGTCGTTGTCGTCGTTGTTAATTGCTTCCAGGTTGAAATCTTTGCCATCCCAATTTTGTTGCTCAAGATCCCAATGCGTGTGTCACGGTCAAACAAACGGGGCACCTTCCCAAATTGGGGGATGGTCATCAATCGATTCGGGAGTTAATTTACACACTTCTGTTGGGAGTTAAATACCCATTTGGTTTGGATTCCCCCAATGGCATTCCGGATGACCATAAACTACACAAACATCCATATACATACATCCATGTATATCCACATATAAATATATTTTATAACTATATATATATATGTATTATAACTATATATATATATTACATCCCATGTAACTTGCCCCATCTTGCCCCATTCCCATGGGTTTTTCTTCCAGCTTCCAGCTTCACGTTGACCGGAACTTTGCTCGGCCTCAGGTTGCACAGTCGAGCCTTCCTGGACCTTTTGTCCTCGGTTCCCCGGCCCAGCATGACGTCCGGAGACGGAGCTGAAACGCGATACGCGCTGCACCCGCTGCACCGTGAGGACCCCGGCGGCCTGGTGGTGGATGATATCCCTATGATTTCCCCATGATGTCCCTATTCCCTATTATTTCCGTATTCTGTTCTTATTATTTACCTATTATTTACCTATTATTTCCATATTGGTTCCCATTACTTCCTTTTTATTTCCTTATTATATCCCCATAATTTCCCTATTATTAAATTATGTCCCTATTATTTCCCTATTGTTTCCCTATCATTTCTTTTTGGCTGGTTAACCCACGGCTTCAATCACCATTTCCGCATTTTTTTGGGACCAATCACCAATTCAGTCGATATGATAAGATCATCATTTCAGCAGGTGAGCTCAGCAATTCTGGTGGTTTAAGGACCATTAAAGCACCATTTCCATTTCTGCAGCTTCGGCGCGCTGCCGCACGGCTGCGCGAAGTCGAAGGAGCTCCGACTTCGCGGTGGAGTCCCACGAGTCCGGCTGGGCTCGGAGAGCAGGTCCCACAATGCCATCATTGACCCGGCCTGGTAAACATTAACGAAAAACTATGGAAAGATCCACCCATTTTCAATGGGAAAATCCACTATGTATATATTGTGTATGTATATATATATATGGCAGTGGGTCAAAACCAATAGTAACCTTGTAGTTCACATCAAAATAGCTGGTAAATGGATGTTCATCCCTCTAAAAATGGTATTAATAGGTTAATAGGTATTGATCCATAGCCATTTACCAACATGATTAACATCAATATCCTTTCGAAGATGATATTTCACTAGGAGCACAGCCTTTAGATGGCCGTGTTTTTTTTGATTAATGGGATGTTGTTGATCATGTTTGATGTGCTCGTGCCAATAGGAATTAGTGTGATTTTAAAAAGGTCCAACTATGTATATATATATGATATAATTAAACTATGAAGGTATGAACAACAATGGAACGAATGGTTATATATATATGTTATATCCCAATGCTTATAAGCCATATATCGCCGCATATTTATTCATCCAAAGAAACCGCAACATTAAGACGACTGGATGAGCTTCCAAAAAACCAACGGTTATTGCATCTAATATGTGCACACGTATAAATGTATATACATATTGTATATATATAATGGATAGATTACGTTGGATTGGATTAGAGTAGATCAATCGCAATCACAATGTTCCAACATGTTACAGCCATTAAACATGCTCGAATTAATCTATAACATTAGATTGGATTGTTTTTTGTTTTTATTAGATAACATAGCCTAATCATTAATCTGATCTACTCTAATCTATCTACAGTATCTATGTGAATTAGATTTAGATAAAACTAGCTAGATTAGATGATTAGACATGATAGGTGGATAAGTTGATCATTATCTTTATCTGACATATCTGACGCGATCGCTGGCTATGCTCGACTTCCCAGGGCTCTTCGGAGCCTGGCGGCTGGACAGCTGCAAGGGCTGTTGGAGGTGGATCATGGGAGCTGGGGATTCTTTATGGGATTCAACGTGTTTTTTTTTTGGGGATTTTATGGGAGTCTTAACTGGGATGAAAAAATGGATCTAACTTGGACTTAGATGGGAATTCTATGGGATTTTCTTCAACTCAAATGGAGATTGAATGGGGGTATTAGTGGGATTTGAATGGTTTTTTTTGTGGGATTTAATGGGGATTCAATGGGGATAAAAAAATGCGGATTGAATGGGGGTATTAGGGTCCATTTAATGCGGATTCGCATATTCATCATATTCCCTTTGCTGCGTTTCTAGCTCCATCAAACATGCAGATGATTGCATGAGGGGTAGATTTGGCAACAGCCAGGCTTTCATTGGGAAGCGTGCGTGCCTCAGGGCCACCATAGCTTATATCATATATCATTTAACACATCGTGCTATATTTCACCTTATCATAGGGAAACACACACACATACTTAGGTTGTTTATATCATATCATATCATATCATATCATATCATATTATAAAGCTCATATAATATTATTATAATATCATACATTTACATATATATGTTCTATCATACATATAAAATGTGCATTTTTGTTCTAAATCACATATATATATACAGACACATCCCTATTTCTATTAATCTAATATCATATCACACACACACACACACTATATATATATTCTATAATATCATATAGTTGGGTGATGTTCAATTAGGACATTTACTAACCCCTGTATATATATATACACACCCTCTGGTTATTTAACATAGCCATGGAAGCCATGGCCCTAATCGAAATAGATGGTTTACCGTTCTTAATAGCATGGGTGGATTTTCCATGGCGAACTGTGAAGGTCATAACCAGATGGTATATACAGTATATACAGTATATATGAATTACCCTCTGGTAAACTAACATAACTATGGAATATCACTATTTTTAATGGGAAAACTCACTATAAATGGCCATTTTCAATAGCTACGTTAAATTACCAGAGGGTAATAATCCCTATGAAATCCCAATCTCTTCAATCCCCACGTCCGACAGGCAGATCCGCAGGCGTTGCCCTTGCCAGAGGAGTTGCAGCAAGTGCTCGCCCAGCTGGAAAAATGCCTCAAAATGCCGTTGACGTTGACGTTTTGGATGGGAAAATCATGGGAAAATGATGGGAACATGAACATCTCTTTTTTTTTTTGAAATGTCTTCTCAGCTATCTGGCAGCCACCAAAGATGGTGATTTAAGATGAGTTCACTGAGTTAACTATCATATCATCATATCTATCATTAAATGGGGACAAGATGTGTAGAATATGCGATCATATGAGACAGGGTATAGAACCCGATGATATCTGGGTCAATGGGGTTCCGCCACTGACCTGGCTATGGCAGAACCGAAAAATTTTGCCCAGAGAACCAGAGGTTTTTTTGGATGTACCAGAGGTATGCCAAATAGGCACCTCTATTCTCCCGAAAACTCTAGAACGTCAGATGGGTCCTTCTGAAACCAAGGGCCCAACCATGCCCAACCCCCCCCAAAAAAAACAGTGAGCAAATGAGAGCCATGTTTCATCGCGACTGATGCTGTAAATCATCCCAGAAGTATCCAAAAGTGATGAAACAAAAACATCTCAGCAAATTTGATGCGGTAAGCCGTTGATAAAACAGTCACAACAAATAAACAAAACATACCCCGTTGACACATGTTTGCTATTTTTGGGGTAAACATGGAACCTCCAAAGCCTTCCCTGGGCGGTTTCAAAGTTCTCGTTGAGAAAATCCATCAAACAACAAACAACAAACGATGATTACGATGATCAGCTGGGAAGTCTGGAAAACCTTCGCTCTAAACATATTTTAACATGAATACACATGAATGCACAGAAACCGAAGATGGCACGAAAAAGAATCGTTGGTAGCAGCCGGCAGCCGGCTACTCCAGCCTGCTTAGGTTACAAATGAAGCAGCTCTGTGCAGTGCTCACTGGAATGCAGGCGCTGATGAATCCCAAGCGAACCAAAACATGCTGGAGTGGTCACTTCCTTTCCAAATCTTCCCAAATCTTCCCATATCTTTCCATATCTTTCCATGGATCATGATGGATACCGATGAGATGCCATGGTATATAGATGGCATAAGTTGTGCATCCTCCGATGTTTTGAAGCACCGTTTTAAACAGATCTTTACCAGCTCTTTGGTGTGAAATCTGATGCCGCCAGGTCTCACATAACTACGAGCAAGGGCAGCAGCTCCTGCAGAGTCGCGAATTCAGTACCAGGCGGCGGCAAAAACCGACGGCTGTTTTCAGGTTTTTTTGAGGCATTTCTTGACGTATTTTTCAGGAATTCATGGGATTTTCCTGGGATTTTCAGGCAAATGTTAGGGTTTGGCCATGAGATGGATGGTTTTTCCTAGATTTTGTCAAGATTCATTACAGCAAGATGCTGTTAAAGACATGCTATTTTAAATGAGGGAGTGATATCCCATTTCTGGACATGATGAATTGACTTGAGATCTTTGCTCTTGTTCAGAAGCCGTCTACTTGGACCTGACTTAAGTCAACCCCATGGTACCTTGGTGGTTGATATACCATTTTTTGTTGCTTCAATCCACCACCATTTTGGCACCATAAACTCGCGATTGGCTGAGTCACCAACTGCCGCGCTTAGGAAAGCGTTCTTCCAGACCGTCCTGGAAATCGGCACCGCCCTCGGTCTGTGATTTTCGGGAGAAAAACCATGGGAATTGGAGTTGAAAAAAGGGAGCTCGACGACTGGTGCACCAAGTTTTTGGGTAACTATGGGAATAAGATCCACTACTGTAGTGGTAGAATTCCTAGTGGAACTGCACCGAATGTGTAATTAACTCAACGCGAATTGGAGTTTGAGTGGCACAATCAGACAGGAAAATGATTATTTTTCACGGTGAACAAGGATATTTTACCGTCCAAATATATATATATATATACATTAAACTGGGGAGAAAAATGATGATTAAGCAAGAAACTTACAGGGTATAAATTCAACCATGGTATGGGGATGCGAGTGGGCACACTATCACTATGAGCAGGATATCACCAAGAATATGACTCTATGTTTTTTTTCTCAAACAAGGGTAGTCCGACCCCAATGTATGGCACTTTTTAATTGGTAGAGTGATGATAAACCGCTGGGTTTAGAGCTAAGCCATTTTGGACAAAGCCATGCTTTGGTTTGAGCATGATGAGTAGTTGCTGGGTATTCCTTGCTGTGAGTTGGGGACTATTTCATATCCAGCTGAACATGATTCTTGCGCTGTATCTGTGATTGGCCATGGTTCACTGCAAGCATTGGTGAGATGATTTTTCTTCGACCCCCAATTTTCCACCGTTTTCGATCCACTTTGACAAAATCTCATGTCCCCAGGTGTAGCAGTGTAGCAGTGTAGCCCAGTTTTATCATCGACTGCAGGGCGTCGCTACAAGATTTTGAACCCCGAGCGCATGCGTGACTCCTACGGGAAGCTCATGTACTTCTTGCAGGCGTGAAAAATGGGTCACGTCCCGCTTCGTGGGTAACAACATGAACTCAATCCAGTTATATGTGGGACATACCCCAAGGTTATATGGGTTCTTAAAATTTATTATCAAGTATATAAAATTATATATATATAAGTATTATATAAGAACTGATAAATTATGATGAGCCCCCAAGTAGGTTAATGGCTAGCTTTTTTTTGCCGGATTTCTAAAGATCAGACATGATTAAGACATGATCAAGGTATCGCTCCTGTGCGAGAAATAGAACTCCTCGTCATCAGGGGGTTGTCTAGGAGTGAATTGGAAGTATGGGGCACCGTATGACCTACCCTCTGGTTATGACATTCACAGTTCGCCATGGTTAAGCCATGGCCCTAATCGAAATAGATGCTTCACCTATACAATTTATATATACCCTCTGGTTATTTAACATAGCCATGGTATAGATGGCCCATTTATAGATGATTTTCCCAGCTATAAACCTCCATTTATAAGGGATTTTTCCAGTTCGCAAACTGTAAATGTCATGTCAGAACCAGATGGTATCCCATCATTAATCCCACTAAAAATGGTGATTTTCCATGGCAAACTGTGAATGTCATAACCAGATGGCAATCCAATCAATCGATCCCTTTGGTGATCTTCATGGGCTGCCGTTCGCGACTCTAAAAACTTTCCGTTTTCGCAGTCCTGATGTTATTTTGATTTATTTTGTGGTTAATATCATCTAATATCATTCTACATCATTTAAGATCATTTAACATCATTTAATATATTTTAATATCATTTAACTTTCTCGATTTTACTGTCTGATCATCACTTTCACTGTCTGATTCCCGGAGATTTTTTGCGTTGCTTGAAGTCCATCTTGCCAGGACTCTCGAAAACCTGACGTCCGCGATTTGCTGGAGCTGGGACACTCAGAGCGCCAGTGCCTTCGCTGGTCAAACATACCAAAGAACAGCTTTTTCAGTCTGCCAAAACACATCACAGCAATCTGATTTCCATTGATTTCCGATATTTCCATCCAGGAACAGGTAGAAATATGTAGAAATCAAGGAACTCAGATGGTTGTGATGACCTTCCTGGGGGGTGGCCATGGCCAGGAAGCTACAACCACGCTGAGGTTTGATATCGTCTCGGGCGTTCGCTCAGCTGGGTGACTCAGGGCTCCGGCATATGAACTTTATAAACTGTAATATCGAGCAGTTATAAGATGTTAATAAGTTAATTATGTTATAATATGTTATATATTTATATGATTATATATATATATGTATACGTCATGTGTGTATATATATATATAATATACATATGTTATATATGTATAATAATTTACATATATGGATGAAACTCCTCCAGATTCATGTTCTTTCAACCACTTACCATGCCTTAAATGCACAGCCTTACGTAGCGGTATAAAAACCCTTGGGCCGTGATTGCTGACTGATTTTTCTTGACACTGGAGGAACATGAATAATATCTAGCTGAATTATCATGACCTCACCGTTGGTTGTCACTGAAATGATGACTAGTAGATTGCAGGGAATCATCCCCAAACGGGCCAACATTTTAGCTATTTTCTGGTCAATGAATTATCATAATTTCAGCCAGATCATATGATATCACACCAAGGTTGGATCCAAAGAAGTTATCTCTTGAGGTTGAACATTGAGTAAACCACCACAAGTGAATAGGGTTGGATGGGCCCTATTGCCGTATGTTGATAACTCCGATCGTTGGAGCCAACTTTCCTACCTGCTTCGTGATTGGAAACTTCTGGCGGTTGCGGGTCAAATGTATTTTAAGTGCAGTTTCCCACTTCAAGTGTGAGTGATTTCGCAGGAGTCGGACATATACCCTCCAGTAAACTAATATAGATATGGAAAATGGACCACTTTGTTCGAAGATTTACTCAATTAAGCATTGTGATTTTCCATAGCTATGTATATACCAAGAAAAGATGTGTTTTCTGAAACGCCCAAACACTTTCAGGGTCTCATATTCCAACAGCGGCGTGTTTCTAGAAGTGCCCGATCCAGGGTACACCAACATCATCCGACAATGAATGGGGAGAACATAACATCATTATCCACACAGTTTTTGGGTTTGTCTGAAAATAGTGTACAGCGGAAGCGTTAGATACTGTAAAAACCGATTAAGAATTTTCCAGCCTACCCTTGGGTTCTTAAGTGCTATAGGTGGAAAATATGGGAATTATGAACGAGGCTACCCTCAAGTTCTGAAAGCGGGTTAGTTCTTTTTTGGGGTTCGATATGGTGAGGGTTTTGCAAATTCCTACTTCCCAACTTAGAATTATGTGAAACTCGTGCCTCCGTAAATCCCAAACAGAGGCATTTCCCTGGCTTTTTAAAGCGCACGCTGAAAAGCCGCACGTGCAGAAAGGGATTTGTTGCTGCGCAGCCATAGAAAAAACCGGTCAAAACGTTAGATAAAAGGTTGGCAGACACCAAGCAAGGCCAGAGAGTCAATAGCTCAGTTGGTATTTCGCATCAGCCTTTCCGCTAAAGCGGGAGGTGGAAACATCGATTCGCACTGGGCGCCGCCCAGCGCTATGTGGAACATACCAATGGTTTCAGCGTATTGGTTTCCTTGAGTTCTTTATCTGCAGTACATGAGTTGAATGTTCCTGCTCATGTTAAGGGGAAGAAGAAAGGCATCCGTCGAACCAGGTTTTAAAAAACAATATTTGATGATGTTTGGTATATTTATACCGGTTAAAGGGGAATAAGAACCAGTGGCTAAAATTCCAGGGTAGCCTTGGGTTCTTATTTCAATTAGCTGGCAGAAAGGGTTGAATCCAGCAATCCAGCCTCTGAAGGTCTTATTGCAGTAGGTTCTTAAACAGTGGTTTCACGGTACCCCTAAACATCATTTTCCCTATTCAATGGCTTTAATTGCTATAATTGGAGGCATACCGCTATTTTCAGACACACCCATATACATATATGCAATTATAATCATATATAATCACATATATATATATATGTATATATAGAGGTATTATATACATATATTTATGTATATATATATATATTATACATATACACTATACATGATATCCCCATGGATTGCCATCCCCATTGGTCTTTGGGTCATCCTTCAATTCCCCGGTGGGATCAGGTTTGGGACGTCTTGAAGCGATCGCCCAAGGGCGCCGAACTCTTGGAGGAGTCACTGGTCAGTCGGACATCGGATTTATTGGGGATAATTCATGGGATTTTCATGGGATTTTCATGGGATTTTATTGGGATTTTATTGGGATTTTATGGAGGTTTAATGAGATTTAATGGTGGTTTAATGGGATTTAATGGGATTTTAATGGGATTTAATGAGATTTTAATGGGATTTTATTGGGATTTTATTGGGATTTTATTGGGATTTTATTGGGATTTTATTGGGATTTTATTGGGATTTTATGGAGGTTTAATGGGATTTAATGAGATTTAATGGTGGTTTAATGGGATTTAATGGGATTTTAATGGGATTTAATGAGATTTTAATGGGATTTAATGAGATTTTATGGTGGTTTGATGGGATTTAATATGATATACCCTCTGGTAATGACTAACAGTTCGCCATGGTTAAGCCATGGCCCTAATCGAAATAGATGGTGTACCGTTCATAGAAAATGGGTGGATTTTCCATGGCAAACTGTTAGTCATAACCAGAGGGCAAGATCAACATGATTTTTAATGAATCCTGAATCAATGATGATTGATGATTGATCGAAGGCAAAATCTGCCAGAAAGCTGGTGTTTCCTCTAGATTTTTCCACCAAATCTGGGATTAGAACAGAAGTTCCAGGCCTTTTTTTTAGAGCTACTACAGTCGGAGTTTGGAGATGGATTTTTGATTAAATTGATTGGGGTTAAACATCATCAATTGGGGATTTTGAGTGTGAACATGCAGGTAGAAGTAGCAAAGATATATGCACAGATTTTATTTACAGTCACAGAACTCATTGCCATATTTCTCTATTGGAATTTGATGTTGTGAAGAATGATCCAATCTATTCCAGGTGGATCACAATTTACTATATCAAAAGTCAATCCTAATGTGAGTACAATTCAAATGTATCTATTCCCAACAATCATGAACCACGATTCCTGTAACTGGATCTTTTGATGTACTGGTATATCCCCATTCTATCCCCATTCCCCATTCATACCATCAAACATTCTCATAGGAATGTGGGTCAAACAATGCCAACCACCCATGACTGGGAATGGTCAGTTTATACCACCATATACCAACTATAAAACTGGTGATGACTGGGGGATGGTTTATGATTGTTTTACCCACATGTACGGTATATCACCATTTTTTTTTTAAAATGATGGATGATGATCAAAAACCATCCCCATTCCCCATATCATCAAACATTCCCATAGAAATGGAGATGGGTCGAAATGCCCTATGGGACCAGAGACTTTAGTATATTAGTCAGTATATGTTTAGTTGGACCACGGCCTTTAGAAGGCCGTGGTGTTTTGTACACATCCGGGGGGGTGGGGTGGGGTGGGGCATGTAATAACGTTCATGTGAACTTGCGGAGGAAGGACATGCTTCTCTGTGGCTGCTGTAAGTTCTCTGGAACTTTCCACTCATGCGTCATGCCACGCTATGTAAGTTCTCTGGAACTTTCCACTCATACGTCATGCTACGTTACTGTAAGTTCTCTGGAACTTTCCACTCATGCGTCATGCCACGCTATTGTAAGTTCTCTGGAACTTTCCACTCATACGTCATGCTACGTTACTGTAAGTTCTCTTGAACTTTCCACTCATGCGTCATGCCACGCTATTGTAAGTTCTCTGGAACCTTCCATGCATACGTCATACGTCATGCTACGTTACTGTAAGTTCTCTTGAACTTTCCACTCATGCGTCATGCCACGCTATTGTAAGTTCTCTGGAACCTTCCATGCATACGTCATACGTCATGCTACGTTACTGTAAGTTCTCTTGAACTTTCCACTCATGCGTCATGCCACGCTATTGTAAGTTCTCTGGAACCTTCCATGCATACGTCATACGTCATGCTACGTTACTGTAAGTTCTCTTGATCTTTCCATTCATACGTCATGCTACGTTACTGTAAGTTCTCTGGAACTTTCCATGCATGCGTCATGCTACGTTACTGTAAGTTCTCTTGAACTTTCCACTCATACGTCATGCTACGTTACTGTAAGTTCAAGTTCTCTGGAACTTTCCACTCATGCGTCATGCCACGCTATTGTAAGTTCTCTTGGAAGAACTCGAAGCGTTGCTGTGACCAACACAGGAATCAAAACATGTCAGGTTGAATATTTTGAGAATTCTCACAAACCCCAAAAATGGTAGTTTCGTCTAGGCGAAATGCTTGTTTTTGAAAATATTCACCAGAATAAGGGGTTAACGGCCTTAAAAACCACATCAAAACATGTCAGGTCAAATTAGTTTGGGAATTCTCAAAAACCTCCAAAATGGTAGTTTCGTCTAGGCGAAATGCCTGTTCTTGAACATATGCACCAGAATAAGAGGATAACGGCCTTAAAAATCACATCAAGCAAAATCCTATTCATCAAAAATCATCCATGATACACCGTTGATCACAAAAAACCCACGGCCTTCTAAAGGCCGTGTTCCTAGTTTTAACCATCTAATTTTTGGGGTAACGTGGGTAACACAATAATAAATCATCCCCCAAAACACAATTTTTTATAGGTGGTATTTTTACCATTCCCAGTCATGGGTGGTTTATGGCATTGTTTTACCCACATTACACCATTTTTGATCTATACCCATCTAGGTTTATTATTGTGTGTATTATATGTTTATTAACTTAAAGGTTATATCTCTAGGTGAGTGAACTATGGTTTTATTATCCCCAACGGTGCACAGGACCCTCAGCTGAAGACTGCCACGATGGAAATCATGAGCGAGGTGTGGCGCTGGGATCATGGGCCAAGTTCGCAGAAAAAAAATGGGAGGATTAAACCATGAATTAAGGGATTTAATGGGATTTTCATGGGATTTACTCAGGTTTTTGGTTGGGGTTTTGGGGTTTTGGTTGGGGATTTCACCATAGAAATCATGAATCAAACTGAGCGAAATCCCACTGTCATCCCTGAACTGAGTCGCCCAGTGCTACTGCGCTACCGCCACAGCCGGGGCGACGAAGAAGATCCAAGCCCCCCCAGTTATGTTTGTTGGTTTATGACAACCCCGTAGGTTAAGAAAATTATATCATTATTATCATTATATTATATATATATATATTATAATATATCCACCATAAACCATTTATGAAACCATTTATGCCACAGTGGAGTCACGCTCACCAACTTAGCTATCCCAAATCAGCTATATATCTATATCTATCCATATAAATGCCAATAAATGCCATGAAATCCCTTTTTTTTCCATAGTTTTAAGTCACCATTTCTCCTATCGCTTCGTAAAGAGGGGCCCCACCTGAACTGCGGATTCTGGAACCCAAGAATGATCTCCAGCAGAAAATGAGGAGACAAAATATCCTGGTTGGTGGTCTGGAACATGGCTGGATTACCCTCTGGTAATTTAACATAGCTATTGAAAATGACCATTTATAGTGGATTTACCCATTAAAAATGGTGATTTTCCATAGCTATGTTAAATTACCAGAGGGTATGACTGTCCATGAAAATATTGGGAATGGAGTGTCATCATCCCAACTGACTTCCGTCACTCCATCATTTTTCAGAGGGGTTGGTTGAAACCACCAACCAGAGAAAGATCCCAAAAAATCCCCAGAATAGTCGCTACAGTGACGAGCTGTTTACCGTGCTTAGATGGTGTTTCTCTAAATTCCTGCTGAAACATTGGATTTCAAACTTTTGATGGACATTGAAGAAAGCTCCATTATATAATTCATAGATAATAATAGTAATATCTATAGATCTATTCCAAAATTTACCAACCATAATTTCCCAATAATAACAATAATAATAATAGATATATGATATACACCCCTGCCCACAATCGATTGCACCATGGATATACCCACGACTTTTCCCACGACTGAAATCTGAATCAGCACCTGCTTTAACTCGTTCGGGAGCGGTTCGGCACCGCGAAGTTCGGTTCCGACTGCTGGGCTCTCTTTAGAGAGACACATCCACCTTCATCCCAGGGTCTTGTATGACCGGAAGTGACATTTAAGCGCTGCAAAAAATGCGCGGAACAACGGGGGTTGTCAAATGGCTCTTTTGAGCCAAGCATCCCAGTCACTCCACTCGACACGCTCGGCACATGCGCCTGGCACTGGACTCCTCCCGACACTGCTCATAGCCAACTTGCACCTGCCCTTCACGTAACATATTCTGGACAAAACGTCTGAACCATCGCAGCTTCACCCGCAAATTGATATCTTCATGTGAGATATACGGCCGATTGGCCACATCAATCCACTGCTTATTCACTTTGATAGGTCCAGGTTGGCCAAAGGTCAAGTTGAAATCGACAAAAAGCTGTGCAAACGAGGTCCAACAAACTTTGGACGCAGGTTTTGAACACCCAATAATTTTTGTTTGGTTCCCAAAAATCATCCCATGAATTTCCCATAGAATCCCCATATCAATCCATTGAAAGACCATGAATCACCCCGTCCGGACCGCTGGAAACTGCAGGGCAAAAGTGGGGGACCCCAACTGCTGCCGCGCGTGGCCAAAACAGGCCAATGGCCCACGTGGCCCTGTTGTGGCCCTGTTTGGTGCAAGAAATCTGAAATCAGGACATTTACCCTCTGGTTATTTAACATAGCCATGGAGAATGGCCCATTTATAGATGGTTTACCTATTAAAAATGGTGATTTTCCATAGCTATGTTAAATTACCAGAGGGTATATGGTTTCATAAGGACAAGTGGTATATGAATGGGATAATCATGGAATCTTTTTGGGCGAATACTGGATTTACCTTTCTGAATGGGTAAATAATGGAACCTTAAATGGTTTAATAGGGAATATCCTCTAGTAAACTAACATAACTTTGGAAAATCACAATTTTTAATGGGCAAAGTCACTATTCCGACTGGGCCATTTTCAATAGCCCCGAACGTTCTTTCACACACATGGCGAACCTTGGGACATCCCCGGGTTCGAATTATGGCTGGGATCACCACCAGCACGCCATGGCATTCATGGTGGATCCGGAGGGATCTTCGCAGTTGGTTGACTCAAAGGTGAACATCGGTTGCAACTCATGTTCACCAAGAACCAAGACTTTCTCAGGATCTTGAAGGTAGAGGGTTGATACGTTCCGTAGATTCTAGCCATTATCAATTGGCTGAGAGGTTAGAGTTGGGAACGGTTTGAACTTGGGCCCCATGTTCATGTTCATGTGGGAAACATCCCACATTCAGCTGCCGATAGCAGCTACCCTGCAGCAATTGATTAGCTTGCATATTTTTTTCCGTTTGAATGCTTTTCCTGTTCAAAACAGGTTTTGTCAGCCACCCAAGGTTGATATCCACAGAAGTATTCCCATTGTTTGAGCGGTAGCACGCTTTGTGTTGGTTAAAAGACACATTTTTGCTGGTGGAGAAAAAGCATATCTTTGCCGGGCAAACGCATATATATATATGCGTATATTATATAGTTTTTTAAATTAAACAACAGGTTGTCTGAGCGACAACAATCGATCACTATTTATATGGGTTTGTCGAAAATCCGCTGGTTTATGCTACATATATAGGATAAAACCTTCAATTTCTGCACACAACCCGCAATATTATCATATATTAAGTTATATACACACACACACCGTATCACTGTATTCCCACACATCATGCTTGCACACACACGTATATATAATATACATATGTATACAATGTGACATGTATCCCATTGTTTTCCCATATCATGTTTGCTTTTCTATATCTACAAAGTGATTAATTACTGTTAGTATCATTATATAAAACTATATACGTACACATAAGATGACATCCGCGTTGCGACCATTTTTATGGTTGGTTTTTCAGCCATCCCAAATGGTTTATTGATGAACCAAGCTATTTCTGCTCCTTAATCTAGCAGCCTCCTTAGTAACAGGCATGATTGATAAATTCTATGGACTTATAGCCTACTCCTTAGACTTTCCTTGATTGGTTTGTCTTTTCCCTGGATTTTCTTTTCCTTTGTTTCTCCCTTGGAAACTAAACAAAACCAAAGGAAATCACAGGAAACCAAAGGAAATCAAAGGAAATCAAGGGAAACCACCCAGCCCCAAACCAAAGAAAACCAAAGAAAATCAAAGGAAACCCAAAGAAACCAAAGGATACCCTGCTGGGAAGAATGCATGTTCCAGTGATATCCAGTGATGTTACTAAAGACTTCCTATGAGTTAAGTCAGCATTTTTGTTGCTGAATGTTGCTGATTTCCCTGACAAAAATTGAGGTCGGAGCCAGGTGCAACGCGAGATCAAGCAGAAAGAGGCCAGCGAGAAAGAGTCACTACAACTGGATGTGCATTCCCAAGTGGTTTATCAGCCCTGTATAAGCCATATATAATATATATATAATATATATATAATATATATATATATAATAATATATATATATAATATAATATATATATATATATAATATAATATAATATAATATAATATATATATATATAATATTATATATATATAAGTTGGGATATAAGTTGGGATATTCCATTCATAGTAGATTATTTCATATGGTTGCTAGCCACTTACCAACTGGAATGCCCTAGGACCTCAACCTCTCAACCTAACCAGCTGAGATCAGCTGGGCCGGAGGGGTTGGGGTCTCCCATGATGGGACAAGGTCATGAAGTATGAAGATATTCCAACATGTGAAGAACATCCAATGAAATATTTTACTGTACATATATATATATTAATTATATATATATATATGTGTGTTTTCTAGTTATAAACATTTGTAAACTAGCCAACGCTCTTGGTTCTACATGGCATGGCTTGGGGCTCAAAAAAATTGGTCGCAAATTTTCAGATCCTAGGGATCCCCCGTGAAATTCTCTGGGGACACAATGAGAATAGGTTTGGGTATGTATGGCGTTTTATGGGCCCAAGAATCTTTGTTTTTATTCATATTTTTATTGGATTTTTCCTCAATTCATGAATCAATGGATTGGTTTTGTTGGGAAAATTTACTGGTTTAAGCCCCATGATCTTCATGGGAAAATAACTCTGGTTTCCGGTTAGGATTTTCCCTTAAACCAATCCATTGAATTAACCTACCTGGCTTATTGATGTTTCTTTGAGTATGATACCCGAAAAATCAACGGGATATCACAATCAGTAGGACATCGAATGGGCACAATGGCAGATATTATACACCAATAAGTAATCATATTCCAATGATATACATATAATATCTGCCATTGTGTCCAATGATTAGTTGTATAACCAGATGATTTAGTCCAATGATATACATAATATCATATTCCATACATAAATGGATGATAAACCATGCTTATTAGATCTTATGAGTAGTGGTTTTGAGTCATCATCCAGTCATGTATCCCCATTTGGGGAAAATGCATGAAATATCCTCAGTCATATAATTGAGTCATATAGGTACCCTCTGGTTATTTAACAGTTTGCCATGGAAGCCATGGCCCATAGAAATAGATGATTTTCCCAGCTATAAACCTCCATTTATGGTTGGGATTTTCCATGGCTATGTTAAATAACCAGAGGGTAAATAGAATGGAATCACCAATAGAATAGAATGGAAATATCCTCAGTCACATAATATCCTCAGTTATTCAGTTATGTATCCCCAGATATTTTATATATAGGTAAATCGTCGAAGTCAATGGGCCATGGCTTCGCTATGTCACTGGAGCGTAGAGGATCATCCCACGGATCATTCCACAGCTATGGATAGCTAAGGAAAATCACCAAATGTGATAGCTAGATCACGATAAATTACTAGATATCAACACCCAATCCCATGAAAATTCCCATTTTCCCATTGTTAACCATCCCATGGATGGTGAAAAAACGGTGAAATCCCTTGTAAAATGCAAATTTTTCGTGAAAATCACCATGAAAACACCACCAGGCAGCCATCAAGCACCTGAGCTCCAAGTATTGCTCGGTGGCACGGCGCCGCAAGCGTCATTATGGCGCGGGGCCCACGTCGCGATCAGTCGGAGAAGATTTGAGGGGATAAATGCTGGTTTTTTTTATGGGATTTAACCAACAAAAATATGGTGGTTTGAATGGGATAGACCCGGCCTGGTAAACATACAAAAAGCGAACTTGAACATGGCCCAGTCGAAATAGTTGATTTTGGGATCTTTCCATAGTTGTTTGTGAACGTTTACCAGGCCGGGTACAAATATGTAACGACGTCACCTTGACGTCGCGACGATTCTGGTTAGGGGGAATCATCAGTATTCGTCGGTGGTCGTACGAATGGTTGGGTGACCGCAACTGTTGATGGTTTTACCAGTGAAACTATGGAGAATCACCATTTTTAATGGGAAAATCAACTATAAATGGCTTTTTTGTACCAGTGAAACTGGGGATAGAGAATTAACAACAGGAGATTGAAGCAATAGAAAATAGGATCATCCGGATTGTTATCCAACAAAGAGCGGGTTTAAGCCAAGACTGATTCTGGGGATACAACATATGTGTCAAACTCAACTTCGACCGCCAGTGGAGACCAACATACCACATCTAGAACCGTTCTGAAGATCGAGCACTGTTTGTCCATGGTAAAGTTGAGGATAAACCGTTGGATCTTGGGGTGAAAATTGTCAGAACTGAAAGAAAAACACACCAGTTTCAGACGCCCCCAGAACTAATGTAACTAATGTATGTTTGTATTTTATTGTAAAATAAATTATGATAATATCTGGTTATGTGACTGACTTGACCTGGGCAGATGTTTTTTTTTCCACAAAAAAACCTTCATTTCGGAGATTTCCCAGCCATGTTTCCGAAAATCCAAGGTGGCATCTATTCCACCTGGAGTCTTCTACGTTTCTTGTTTCGAATCGATGCTGGGGTGACTGTATGGCTGTGTTTGATATACCCATATAATACATATATAAATTATATACATATATAATTATATAATATATATATATGGGTACATACATAGAATGATAGTTACACTATAGATATTGGCGCCAAGATGCGGCAAGTATCTTAGAGCACCTTGGGATGTTTTTTTTTTTTTGCGGGTCATACTCAAAGATCATATCATATGTTATGATATGATATGACATAATGAAATATAATATGGTATACTGTACTATAATATAATATAATATACTATACTATAATATTATATTATATTTTATTATATTATATATAATATACACATCATATTTGCCAAACATGGCTTCCTCATGCGCACATGCCAGACATGACCACCGAAACGGAGCCCCGTCTTCAATAGGAAAATCATCTCAATATGACAGAACAGCCCCTGGTAATGAAACGCGGCAATGGATGTTTTAATATGTTTTAATGGGAAAATCATCTATAAATGGTGGATTTTTTTCCAATGCCATGTGTGATTTTTTCGGAGGCTATATCCATTGCATTCCAGTGCCATGTCTGATGTATCTCCGAACGACCTGAGACAAACCAAAAAACTGTACAGTATCATATTTGTTTGTTCTAGATTCCTAAAAAATATACTCCCTGTATTGTGCATATATAGATAGATAGATAGATAGATAGATAGATAGATAGATAGATAGATAGATAGATGCATGCATGCATGCATACATACATATATATATATATAAAGATATTGTAAAAAGATATAAAGTACGTACACAGACCGTTCATAACCACCTGCATCCCCTTTTTTTGGTGACTTTTTTCCGGTGCGGGACCACAGCGGATTAACGACCATGGACCCTTTTGGACCATCATCTGTTGTTTCTTATTGTTGTTGTTGATGATGATGATGATGGTAGTGGTTTATTAATGTTAATGGTTATCTATGGTTATTAATGGTTATTAATGGATGATGATGATGATGATGATGATGTTGCTATATAGTTGTTGTCATTCTCGCTGTTGGTAGCATTCTTGTTATTCTTTTGGTGAGATATAACAATCGCCGATCTAAGAATCACTGCAAGAAAACTATGCTATCATTATTCTCACCAGTATGCAAGACTAATTCCTACAAGATGGGGCACCATAGATATCAAAGCCGGCTTGTAACTCCAATAACTATGGTTAAAGTACACAATTAATTGGGTTTAACCATAGTTATCCATAGTTATTGGGTTTAACCATAGTTATCCATAGTTATCCATAGTTATTATTATGTTATTGAAGTATCAAAGCCGGCTAAGAAACATCACTGGGGGGTGCCACCTTGTACATGGTATCCCTATGATCTTACCAAAAATAACCGGAAAATACTAGGCGGAGTGCAGTTGAGGTCACAAATGGGTATACAATCATGGTTGTAGGGGTTATATATATATATATATCAACTTCTGAATGTTCTAGCCAGGGTATGCCAAGGTTATACTTAGATGGGCCATGGGAACAGTTAACTTTCTTAGTAATCTAGCTTCTAAGCCATGACAAATACAGAAATATATCATAAGTTATCATATATTATCCCAGCTACTAACCAGTTATATCCTAGTCATATATACAGTATATACAGAAACCTAACCGTTGTAACGTCCAATGGCCCTTGTGGGTCGTCGCGAAAAGGGTTGCCGCGAATGAAGCTGCGAGGATCGAGCTACCGAGATTCCGATTCGGAGGAGGGCAACGATGGCGATGAGCTTTCCGAGGACGACCTAAGGATTTGAGGGGATGGAAACCGAATTGAACCTCTAGAAATGGATTGAACCACCCATGGTATGTTAGAATGGTTTTTTATATATATATATATATACACCCTCTGGTAAATTAACAGTTGGACCCTGAAAATAGCCTAGTTTTAATGGAAACTCATCTTCCAACCCCGATGACTGCCAGGGTCGAACTGTTATTTTACCAGAGGGTAACCTCTAGAAATGATGGGATTTCATACTTTTAATGGGAAGTTTTTAATGTGTTTTTAATGTGGTTTGCAATGGGATTTAATGGGTTTTAATGGGATTTAAGTGAATGGTTTTGATTTGAACGAAGAAAATAGTGGACGATAGAGTGAAGTGCTAACAAAATTCTACTGACTTGAGTTGTCCAACACAATACTGGCGATCTGAGTGATTTGAGCAACACGATGACGGTGAGATACAATGAATTTTGATCTCGACTTTCTTGCTTTTGATCAAACACATTGCTTTAGATATTGAACGAAATGGGAAAACCATGGAAAAGAAGGAGTGAACCTTGCAAAAATGGGACCAACAAGAGGGGAAATTTGAGCCGGTTGTAATAGCCAATACAGGGTTGAAAGGTGGGTGTGGACAACATCAATCAACATCAACCAACATCAACCAACATCAACCAACAATATGAAATGGGTTTATCTAAAAGAATAACCCGGCCCCCAATTTTAAGTTTGTGTCCATGCGGAAATGGTTTGAAACCATGACATTGAGATTTCTGGGTCCCAAATTTCAAAACAATCTCTCTGAATCTCACGGCGGCAGAGTGTATTGCACCACGCATTTCTAGGATTCTAGAAAGTAATTTCTTGAGTTCGGCTTAGATTCATCAGCAGTAACCAATAGTAACCAACAATGACAAGAACAAACATATTTTTCATCAGTGTAACATCAGTAAGAACCCACGATTAAATCCCTCATCCAAAGACCATGTACCCGTCTCGGCAATCAAACATGGCGGGCGGTTGGGAACTTCATCTATTTTCTGGAGGTTTAAATCGGACAACATCCGCTCCATGGAGGTTAACTGGGACAATTCCCTGGTCATTTTCCCATGAAAAATGGTGATTTTCCATAGTTATGTTACCCACTGGTAAACTAACATAACTATGGAGAATCACCATTTTTAATGGGTAAATCCACTATAAATGGCCATTTTCAATAGCTATGTTAGTTTACCAGAGGGTAGTCATTACCAGAGGGTAAATGGTGATTTTCCATCACCAATCACATGATCAGCGGAATCCAACCCGGAGGATGTGGTGGAGCAATGTATCTACTCCTTAGGAGATCATAGCACCTACTTGAGGCGCGTTTTTTCGGTGGGTCTCTGGCTTTTTTCTCGGCCATAGGTTGATGGCGCCATGTCACCATTGAAACAAGCTGACCTCTGGCGTTCACAATCACCAGATGTTGGGATTTCGTGGCTGGGTAGATCCATGCTATGCTTCACAATTTGTACATGTACATGTCATTCCTGTGCAGCCCAAAATGGGATGTACCATCCCCAAGTGACACACGGTTGGCTGGACATCCCGATGTCACCCAAGATGAAGTGGTCAACATGTCTGATTGGTGGTTTGGAACATGGCTTTTATGACTTTCCATTCATATTGGGAATGTCATCATCCCAATTGACGAACTCATATTTTTCAGAGGGGTAGGCTCAACCACCAACCAGGTATGGTGTTTTGTTGCATGTACCTATGCTTTTTCACATCTGAAACTCATCCAGCTTGCGGATGATGTTGGATGCTTCGCTGCTTCGCTTCCGCTGCTGCCTTTCCAGCTTCGCTCTGACGTTGGGTCAGGAAATTTATATGAAGATGAGAAATGCAAGAAAGAGGGCTGGTCAATATACACCGAAGAATGACAATGATTATATTTTTCTTGGTAGATTAAACTATATATATAGGTGTTATTACATGTCATTACTATTTACATTATATATAGTGATATTATTATGATAACTGATATGTAATAACTATACATTATTATGACCATTAAATGTATTATATAATACATGACATCCCAAGGTAGATCCAGTCTGCCGTTTCCGTTTGGATGATCCCTTGGACGAACTTGAGCTAGCACCAACGAATTATTCAAGCGATCAATTGGTCATATTTTGAGGATGTGAACGGTGTGTATACATATATATATATTATTAAAGCATCCAATTTGGTTTCAAGAACTCGAAACATCCCATCTGATCATATCTGATCCATCCTTTCAGCTTCCTCGGCTTTCCTTCAGCTTTCTTCACTTAAAACGCTGGACATTGCGGAAGATCATGATCTTCGCGACAAAACATATGGCATGTTTTGGGGTCGTTCGTTTAAAACGACTTTTAAAAAACACATTTTTGTCCACAAACAGAAGCGTTACGGAGACGTCGTGCGCAGATGAGAACAGCCGCGCCATGCCCCAGTGATCCGTGATGCGTCGTTGGGTCCCGCGCCTTCCGGCACTGCCCCGTGGCCGACGCTTTAGCGAACTGGGAGGCGAGGGCAAGGAGACGAGGGAATTGGATTCCAAGGCTGTGCAGCCTGCAGTTCCTTGGGAGCACTGGATGGATGGATTTTTAGGCGCTGGAAATGGCCAGAAATGGACCATAAATGGACCATAAATCACCTAGGACTGGCAGCCTATGGCAGATGGTCGGATTTTTTCATCTCCCAAAGAACTGAAAACAGATCGTTGCAGTTATTGGCAGTTGGTATGTCGTCAGCAACACTGTGCAATGGCCGTTACCCCTTCAACTCACCTCCTAGGCAAAAGTCCCAGAAACCCTGGGTTGTTGTAGTCATACCCTGCCCCTGTTCGGATCAGATCAATGGCCGAAAAGCCTTCAAAATCCCATGGTGCTTCATTGAAAAGACCGGGATTTTTGCTGTTTTTTGTTGTGGCCTTCTCATCCCTTCCCCCATCATGCTCAGGTTCCCTCTGCGGTGACCAGCTTCACAGGGGGTCTACCCATGGCTCAAGACCCAGCCTTCGACTTGCGACAGTCCTTTCGGAAGTTCCCATTGCATCGCCAGGCAGTTCAAAGGAGATGGGGATGGGTCAGTTCGAAAAAAGCCCTCGCAGATTGCGCCAGGTCTTCGGCCAAAGCCATCCATTTTTAGGGGTAGCCAAGTTTTACCCGTATCTTTGGGGAATACTCAAAATTGACCATGGAGTGAAATGGTAAAATCATGTGAAGAAGATGAATAATTCAAGGCTTGAGTTTCCCAGGAAAACATTGGTGCAAGTACAAGTCGCGGCACTACAACCAGTCCAGTGGAGTAATTAATGATTCAACACGTTGGGTTCTATCATGTTGTATATATCCATTTCTATTCCATGTATACATTATCATACATATATGGAGGTTTCCTAGAATTGGGATACCCCTAAATCATCTATTTTCATAGGATTTTCCATGAAATAAACCATCCAGCTATTGGGGTAGTCCCATTTATGGACACCCTCCATATATTATCATATTATTCCAGTTTTGTTTGGTACCAAGTCACAGCAGGAACTATTTCTCTCCGCGAAGCTGTGAAGCCTCCCTATTAAAAAAAGGGAGTCAAGGAGCTACCAAGAGTTTCCCACACGATAGCCAACATGATGCAAGAAAGTTGGTTGGAAAAAATCTTCGACAGATGGACATTTGGACCTCTGTCGGACCAAGAATTTTGGTTCCCCAAATGATCTGACCCGAAAAAACCCAGACGGGTGGCTGCACAGGTACAACTGGGTTTGATGAAGATGGGCTTGTCCGTGCCCACGCGTGTACAAGACATGACCTTGCCCATGCTGCTGGAAGGCGCGGAGACGACCAACGGGGGCGAAGCCTGGAACCATGGTGAATGTAGAGGGGAAAATTTCGGAAAGGGAGCTGAATATTTTGGGTTGATGATAAATGGAGCTGATAAATGGGTAATGAATTGGAGCAAATTATTCCAATTTAGTTTCATAATGAATTGGAACTTTTTCTGCTCAGATACCAAACAGACACGAAAGATGTTCAATGATTTTCAATCCCACGTGAACATGAACCTATATGAATTTCATCCATCCTATAATTCCAGCCACACATTGTTGACTGCAATTGAACTGGCGTTGTCTGAAGAGTACGCTGAAAAAAAGGCCATGGTTTAGAACCGCATTTTGCCTGATAGAATTACAATTTGGGAGTGTATAACCCATCTTCAGACAAACTGAAATTATATGTATTTTTGCTTACATCTCCCCATGATATCTGTAATATATTCCCATTGATTGACAGTTAACTCATCTGATTGGTGGTTTGGAACATTTTTTATTTTTCGATATATTGGGAATATCATAATCCTAACTGACTTTCATTTTTTTCAGAGGGGTTGGTATACCACCAACCAGTCATATTAAATGCTCATTTTTTGATACCCTCTGGTTATTTAACAGCTTGCCATGGTATAGATGGCCCATTTACAGATGATTTTCCCAGCTAGAAACCTCCATTTACCCTCTGGTAAACTAACATAGCTATTGAAAATGGCCATTTATAGTGGATTTTCCCATTAAAAATGGTGATTTTCCATAGTTATGCTAGTTTACCAGAGGGTATAATGGATTCTCCAGTGACTCCGTACGTTTTTTTTGGCGCCAGGGATCTCCACCTTCATCCTGGCTCAGACGGGCACAGGGAAGACGCTGGCCTATGTCTTGCCCATTGTGCACAAGTTGTTGACCACCAACACCGAAGGCCGGGCTTTTCGGGCTTTTTGTGGCTGATAAAAGTTGGGGGATCACCAACTGATACTCAGAAAAATCATGGGATATCCATGAAATCAACATTAAATCACCTAGATACTCATGGGATTTAATATTAACATATATGCACATATATATATATATATGTATACACATTGTATATTCATTTACAGATGACCTGACTTTCCCAGCAAAGATTCCAGATTGGATCATATGCCGGTTCTCATCACGTCTGTTTCCTTTTAAAACAATATCTCAGCAGACCCAGCAGTTGAAAACCTGGAAATATGAGATAACCGTCGTCGTCGTCGTCGTCGTCGTCGTCCTCGTCGTCCTCGTCGTCCTCGTCGTCCTCGTCGTCCTCGTCGTCCTCGTCGTCCTCGTCGTCCTCGTCCTCGTCCTCGTCGTCGTCGTCCTCCTCCTCCTCATCATCATCATCATCACCATCATCATCATCATCATCACCATCACCCTTAAAATCTTAATAGAGTTCCTAATTAAATCTCCAAGGGGTGGAAACCAGTGGGACTTGGAGGCTTCTTCCCCAAGAGCCAGAAGCCACGCGCGATCATCGTGCAGCCCACGAGGGAGTTAGCGCTGCAGACCATCAAAGTGGTCCGCAACTTCCCTGTGAGATCCGTGGTACCTGGGAGAAAATGCGATGGTTCTGGTGCCCAGCACTGCTGGTTGATAACTACATGACTTTGTATATATATATATACATGAGCTGCGCTATAAACTCTTTATGTATTGGTGAGTAAGGGGACGGTCATAAGGTGGCTTCGCGTAAGCCAAAACTGCAGTGGCGTAAGAGCTGCGCAAGGTTTTTGGCTTTGAATGTTGTGCGTAAGCCTGCGTAAGGCATGCTTGAAAAGCACCTTTTGGCTAAAGAATGAAAGAAACATGAGGGTCAATATGCTTGGTCACGTTGATGACAGTCAAATGGAAGGGAAACCGAGCTCCAGATATTGCAGACTAGGCAAAACCAGTGTGGCCACGGTTCGGTTCGGTTTTACAGGAAGTCGGTTCGGTTCCTAAACGGTTCGGTTCCTATAGAAACCGGTTTTTCCGGTTCCACGGTTCCAATTTGTTCGGGTTGAGAAATGTTCATTGCTGCCACGAAACCAATTTTGAAAAAAGAATGTGTTTTTTCGCGTAAGGAACGCGTAAGGTATGCGTAAGGAACGCGTAAGGCCCACCTGCTTTATCTGAACAGTTGCCCCATGGCCCCGAAACGTCGCCCCATGGCCCGAATGGCCCCGTAAGCCCCGAAAAGCAGGCTCGAAAGCGTCTCGAAAGCGTCGACCGCAACAGGCAACATTGAAAGCTGACGGTTCAGGCTCGTCCTCAACATCCTCTTCTTCAACATCTTCATCTTCGGATTCGACAAATGATGAATGACGCACTGAAATACTCTGTTGAAAAAAAGGCCGCGTAAGGAACGTGTCACGAAAAAAGATGACTTTGTGGTGACTTACTTTCGCGTAAGCCTTGCGTAAGCCCATAGAAAGCCCAGATCTCCGCGTAAGAGAAACCCCCAATAGCGTAAGGATGCGCAAGCATGTGCGTAAGCATGTTCTTACGACCTAAGAATCTATCAAGGTTTCCAGCATGGCTCACATGGTTATATGTATATATATATGGATATAAGGTTATATAGATTTATCCATAGATTATGTATGTAGCGTTAGACCAACTGGTTTAATACACTGCAAATAATAGATCAACGTGAGGATGAGGATGTAACTGGTATAACCCAATATTGTCCAAGAATGAGGCTTATAGCCAGAGGAGCAGCGAGAAAGTTCACAAACACATGAGGGCTCATTGTGTACAATTTCTCCTCGCATAGTTGACTGGTTCACTATTCACACAATTGACATGGCATGTCACCGACACATCCCCAATAGTGGGGGAATCCACCATGCCACAAACCACTCCCTTCAACTATCAGCTACAAAATGGGGTTATGATGGGTGAAAAATTACATGTTCAATAAACCATCCCCAAAATCTGGCGAATCGTCGACGCCCAATTTCATCAATGCCATTGGGGCCCATCAGCAGCTCCAGCGCAGCGCGTTTCGTTGTGGGCTCCGCGAGGTGTGCGCGCCGAGTTGTTCCTTCATCAAGGAATCACAAGCCCTGCACGCAGGAGTCACTCGAAAAAAGCCGATCTGCAACGGGTATCATCCCAACATGATTTGGGCAACGTTTCAGAGTTGGGGTTGATATGATGTTGGTCAAAATCTGCTCTGGGATATTGAGCAAAAGAAACACACAGATATCGAAAACCAGATTTTTCAAGCCCATGATATGAAAAAAATGGTTAACAGAGGCAACATATGGTGATGTGACCATGATATCACCAAACCTTGAACATTTAATTCACACATGTTAGGTCGATGTGGTGGTGGCGACGCCCTTCCGCTTGACGCTGCATTTGGGGAAGGGCAACATGTATCTCAACGAGGCGCAACAATCGTGTGGGCGGAAAAGACGAGATGATGACTATGACATTAGATGAAAACACCCATGACATAATGAAGATGAAGTGATCAAATGAAGTGATGAACTTAAAATGAGTTTCATCCAACGTCGTACGTCTCATTCAACAACATCCCAATGATCCATTTCGATCCTGCACGAAGTTGGTCAAATCCTTGGGTCTATCTTTCCAGGATTTAACATTTTAGCAAAACACGGGATTTATGTTGATGTTAATTTCTTTATTTTTTATTTATTATATTTATATTATTGATTAATCTTATTTATTATTCTACTCATTGTTTTTGTTTAATCCATTTATTATTATTATTATTATTTGTTTTAAATATATAATCATCTAACAACCAATGTTTGGCGTCTCTTGTGCTATAGTGAAGTCCACTCTACTTTTTGGAAAACCCTACGGGAAATCCGCCTTGGGAAATTCGGGTTTCCTGGGGCTTTCCGATTTTGGGCATCCTGGGGAGGTCAGACACATGGTCTTTGATGAAGCAGATACGTTGTGCGAAACTTGGCCCCGGTCGCAACGGTCCAGGATCCGATGTTTCGGACGGAGGTAGGTTACTGTAGCATAAATGCAGATGGCCTATTTTTTCGGGGATATATATGATATACACTCAAAATATGGGCTTGAGAGACCCTATGTCTCCCAGTGGTGCAGAGTCAAACCCTAAGATTTTGCTGGAAATTGAGGCGGCTGGATCAAGCCAATGTTTAGGCTTCCAATGTGTGAAACTCCATGTTCTGTCATCGGGAGTCATCTATTTCTCATCTCCCCTTTTAGATGACAGAACGTCGTCAACTGGAATTGCATCAGGGGTCATCAAACAAACACAATAGCGACCCTCCTTCAGGCAGCGCAGCATGAAATCAGCAGCAGCATTGGTTTTGGTTAAACAATCAACCAACATCTGTTTAGTAGCCACCCATCTTAAAACAATGTTGTTTTTTCTAATATCCCGACGAACAATTAACATTTCTATGGCCATACGCTTGTCCTTGACGACTACGCCATCACCACATGTGTGATCATATATTGGTTTGTTGTCACATGTAACGACCATCATCATTTGCTCCCGGAACTCCTGATCTCGACATAGTTCATAATTGTAATGCAAGGCCTCCGCAAATAGTGATCTCATCCAGTTAGCCTCTGCAATTGCCCTTGATATTCCCATCAACTCTGCCCCCAGCGTTGACTGAGTGTGACGTTCTTGTTTGTAAGACTTCCACCGAAGTGGAGAAATCGCTGCAACCTTGTTCTCTGTTACGGAACGATGCGCAAACAAAACCATGTACCCTGCCTGACTGGTAAGATCTTGATTATTAGCCCATGACGCATCCGAAGAAACTAACAAGACGCCCTCATGAATGGGAATAGATTGGATCCAAATACGCACATGTGAAAATCCCGAATTTTGGCAACCAACTTATTTGCTTCAATAAGATCACTGACCGTAGCACATTGAATCCTTTGTTGAAGGAAAGCATTGCACACAGCAATGACGGGACGGGTGTTCCCCATCATCCAATTTGCAGCTCCTACAACCCCACGGAGTTTCCTCCGCTCACTTTCGGTGATAAATTCATGTTTTTGTTTCCTCCTGTCTTTGGTCAGTTTGATCGTTTGAACTTTTTCCGCATATTCTTTTTGATCACAAAAAATGGAAAAGTCTTCGTTTTGTTTCAACTGTTTTCCCAGAAACATACCACCACCAATCTTCCAATGTTTGAAAGGATATCGTTGTTTCAGAGGACCCAAAACCATTTGATGAAACCGATCCGTACCCCCAATCACCATGTCATCAACATGTAAAGAAATGCAACCTTCAAGAACCCCTTCATGATGCCAATAAAAAACGCAAGGATCAAGTTCAGATTGTTTCATGCCTAAGGTTTTCAAAGTGTTACTGAAACTTACCCACCAGGCTCTTGGGGCATCAACTAAACCGTAGACACATCCACAACATCATTTGGATCACACTTTGGAATTCCTTCTTTGGGAATTTTGACAAACAGCCTGCCTTGCTCTCTTGCCAACGGTTCACCCTGCAGAAAAGCTCCCTCCACGTCTGCGATCACCAGTCGCCACTTGCAGGAAGCAATGATCTGTAGACAAACTGCTAGTCCCTCCATGCTCAATGTTGGTGACTGTCGCTGCAAATCGAACAAATCTGGATCTAAAAAACCCTTAATACACCACCTACACTTCAACTCAGTCTCACCAGGATTTTCGGGGTCATCCCTTCGGGTTTTCACAAAACGACTCTCCAAAAACCTTTCGGGTGGGTGTTCACTGCGAATCGCATCAGCATCTTTTCCGGTATGAACCTTAATGGACCCAGTCTTCAACAACTTACCCCATTCCTTCAACTTACCCGCATCCAATTGAGCCAACTCTTTTGGGGTCAAATCTTTCAAATGAACCTCATGATTACTCGTGGTTTGAGCAAGAAAAGAATCATGCGTTTCCGGGGAAGTAACCATTTGGGACCTAGAAACCCTCGTGTTACCATGATCTAAAACATCAACACTTCGACGCAGAGCCTGGGTAAGATCATGCCTCATAGGCCCATAGCCGCTAGCACTCGATGCACTCGTGGACGTCACTGCCCGTGCTCCTGTGTCATATGGCTCCGATCGCAGGTTCCGTGAATTGGGTTCATCGTCAGACCCGTCCGGTGTCCAGTTGTTGGTCCCCATGGTCTCACTTCCGTGAGGTTCTGTTTCAGGCAGAGCTTCCTCCGTTGAAACTGGTTCCTCTCCGTCATTCATGTCGTCCAAATCCAAATTGCCTGAACCCAAGGTTGTCTGCCCCGTTGGTTCAGATTGAAACTCATTGTTAAGGCTGTCGCCGTCATCCGGAATTGGTGTTCCCGGACTGTACTCCAACTCCGGTGGTTCATCCCGATGATATCTGGCGCGTTTTGCACGATGTTCATGTTCTTCATCATCCAGGTCCATGTCGTCATGATCTGGTGTGCCCTCAGTGGAGATATCTGTGAACACTTGTGCTCCTCGTTTCCCTTCTGGCGCCAGTGGTAACATGTTTGTCATGACTGCGGTTACTGCTTCAACTTGTTCATCTGTCAAATGCTTCAACTGACTTGGACTGCATCTCAGAACTTTGTTTCCATGTGCTACCCAAATGCGACTCTTGGACTCGAAAAATCCAATCACACGAGCGGGTCCCTTCCAAATTCCCCGCTTGTCATTTGACCGTCGCCAGTAGTAGACGTAGTCACCAACCTCAAAAGGTCTCTTGTCAGGACGACTCTGTCTGTGAATGGCTTTGCGAACGTTCTCATGATCGTCCATGGCTATCATCGCCCTCCGGGCTGATTGCCGAATCTCTTGAGCCCTGGTGTGGCTTTCAACCCCTATCAACAGGTTATGCTTGAACGTCAAACTGTTTCCTTCGTCAATCAAACTGTGGGGAATTCTCAACTCACATCCAAAAACATGTTGCATCGGAGAAAAACCATGTTTCCTAATCATGCAGTTCTTACTTTCACAAACCTTGTCACACAACTCATTGATTTCATGTTTGTTTCTGGGTTGGCATTCTTCAAAAGATTTCTGAAAAATATCCTTCCAAATACCACCATGCCTTTCTGCTAATCCATTCTGCCATGGACCATCCGCCGCGGTCACTGTCACCAAAGTGTTGTCCCTGTCAAAACCGTCTTGAACATCACCACCAAACTCCAGTCCACCGTCCACCAACACTTGAACCGGACTCCCAGCCCACCGTTTCCAAAACTTGCGGTACACCCTTCTGACTTCGGAACTCTTGGCACCCTTCCACAAAGGAACACACACTTGTAAACCAGTACCCTCACAAATCATGTTCAACATTTTCAACTTCTTTTGGTCAAAAATACCCACCTCAAACACATCCATGCAAACCCGCTGATTAAAACCGCAAACCCTCTTGGTTTTAACCACAGGATGCGTACCCTGTGGCTTTTTTGAAAGACACACACTGCATTTCAACCCTTTAGCCAACTGGATAGCCTTCTCACTGGCCCCCGCTGACTTCAACAAATGCAGAAATCTCTCTTGACTTGGGTGACCCAAATTGTTATGGCACCGTTGGACGATTTCCTGGAGATTTTCATTCTTTTCATTCAACGGTTCAACCGCATGGACCTCATTGGAATTGGGTTCCTTCAGACCATGATTTTGGACTTGTTTCAAGTGATCCTCATTTCTCTTCACCCGAATGGCCTTGATCATCATCAGAACTAAGTTTCTTGGATACACCTGGGCACATCTGGTCCTATTAACCCATTGACCCCCCAGCTTCACTTGACCCTCTAGCCGTTCATGCTCATGATCATGCGTGCACCGTCTGTCCAGGTATTCTTTCATGTATTTGTTGGTCGTGATCACCCTGGTACCCTTTTGGTAAGGCTTGGCGCTGATCGGATCCCTCAAACCAAACTGACATTGATCAAAAACAACTTCAACCACATCTTGATGATCACTCAGTTTTTTCAAACATGGTTGGCCCCAGCTGTCCGCCCCTTTTGGATGTTCAAAACTGAAATCACGACCTTCATTCAACTGGAGTTCACAAACCTGCACGCCGAACCGCAACAAAACCTCAGCTTCTACTCTCTTCCTCACACGCTCTCCGACATCCCCTTTTCCTTGACTCAGTCGCTGCATCGCACTGAACGGTCCACATGGCAAGGAGACGTGCACATGTTTCGGCTTTGTGCGCCGAATGTCATCGAGACACTGCTTCCTACAGTCAGCACTGAGGAAGTTCCATCCGTTCAGGATGTCATAAGATTTGCCTCCTACCAACCCTTTTTCTTCAGCAACAGGACACAAACGAGGAACAGAAAACACCTCGGAAACATCAACATTTCTCAAATCAACATGAAAAACATCCGAACCAATCTCACCCTCATCACCGTTCAGGCTTTCCATGACATGGTCACAGGCATTTATATAGGAAAGGTTCCGTTTCAGGATTCTCCTAACCTTCCTAGACATCACCTTTTGATCTACTGCATCATGCGCTTCAGAAACATCTCGGCTTTGGGATGCATGGCCATTCGCTGAAGGCGAACTTGGTCCTTGTTCTCCTCTATCTGCATCATTCCCAGGGTCATGTCCTTCCACTTCTGCACATGGTTCTCCTGAAGAATCACCTCCCAGTCCATGTTGGTCTCTTCCACGTGATGAGCTCCTCGCACTTGTCCTCGAGCCATGCGTTTTGGCATGGCTGGGGGAATCGGCATCTGACCCCGAGCGCCATTCATACGCTCCTGCTTGCTCTGATCCACATAGGCGATGAACACCCGGAGACGTTTCATGTCGACACCACTGTCCTTCTTGATGTGCTGCCGAATCCACTGAATGTAGGACTTGTCCTCTCGGTACACTCTTTCCATGGTCATGGCAGCATTCCGGTACTTCCCCTGTGTCACCTTGAGGTTGGGGTCGATGGGATTGTTGAGGAAATCCTGAGGAAAGTCTGGTTCCTGATCCAAACTCTTGGAGTCGTGGGGCATGACTTGGATCTGCTCCAACATGTTCATGATCTCGGGGGTCACTGGTGACGCATGGTGACTGGCCGAACTCCTGCTGCCCGCTGGTGTCATTGGTGAACTGTATGCCATGGTTCTGCTCTTCGGCACTGACACGTTCCTGAACCTGACTACTCCTTGAACCCACACTAGCCAACCTTTCTAAATTATCAATGTCATAAACAGGTTTCTCTTTGGTTGACGTTTCAGCAACATGACACTCAGCAGCAGCAAAATCAAACAGCGGCAAGGCATAATGCCCTCGGAGGGTTTCCAACAGTTTCACACGAACCCCCAACTTCGGAAAAACAGCTTCATCATGATCCAAATCAAGAACAGTTCCCAGTTGACGCAAGAATTCCTTGCTCAGCAGCAAGGGAGTCTCCTGCCCAGATCCAGGCAGAACAGCCGCTTTGACTACTATTCTTTTCCCGGCGACGTGTCCTGGGATCATCGCAACTTCAGTGGATTGAAGAGTTCCAGCATTACCGAACTTGAACTCATTTGACACCGTGGCCCTCTTCACTTTCAGCCCATGTTTGAACAGTTCAGCTTCAATCCTAGCCAAAGTCTCATGACCTACAAGCGTCTTCCTGCAAGCCGTGTCGGGCACACCGCACGTTGCAAGACATGAGTCATTCAAAAATTGCTCACTCAGGTGTGCTTCATGAAAACCATCTTGGCAAAAAAGTCGCTCAGGCCGCCTCACATCTTCCTTCTGCACCACTAGGGACTGGTCATCACGTTGACGGTTGCCAGTCGAATGAGTGTCGGCGTTCCCTGCATTCCGGCAGTCATTTGGAAGTTCTGAGCCCCAAGTGACATCCTTCTCTTCACTTTCAGTCGTGACATAGAAGGCCTCCCAGAGCTGCTTGGTCTTCTCATCGGCTTCGACAAACAGCACCTCCTTCTTGTCACTCACCTTGCCACCCTGTCCACTGCTCGCTGAACCACCTCCACGAGCTGGGCACTCGCGTTTCCAGTGGCCCGTCTGCTTGCAGTGATGGCACCGGGTTCGGGCCTTGATGGCCTCGATGCGACCACGGATGGCGCCAGTGATCTTGTAGCCCTCAGTTTTGCCCTTCTCAAAGTTCCTGGGATAGTACCCACGATTTTTCTTCTGTTCTTGCATCCTTCGCCGCACATCTGTGTACGACTCGAACGCCTCCAGAATCTCTTCCTCATCGTAGTCATCCCTGGACTGCATGTCTGCCACCATGACATCCAAGGCACACTGCATCTCATCTGACTCCTCGGAGTCGGCATCCGCATCTGCAGCAAACACATCCTTGGAGTTCTTGGTACCACTAGATCCCTTCCCTTCTGGGAACACTGCCTTCATAGCCTTGACCAAGTTGTCATAGCTAAGGTCTCCACTAGTAGCTGTGAGCAACATGCTCTCAGACTGACTTTCCAACCTGAGCTTCTTGAGGAACATGAATCCCACAACAACTGCCGGCAGCTTCACTTCCAGCTCTTCCAGCTTTCGCTTGGACGCCTCAAAGCGCACAAGGAACTGTCTAAAGGGTTCCCCATTCTTGACCTGCAGCTCATGAAAGAACGTCTTCATGGCATCCTGCAACAGATCAATCTGCTGTGGTCCATATTTTTCGTCCAAGACCTTCCATATGCTCTCAGCTCCTGTTTCACAGCAAATCTTCTCTATGGGGATTTGCTCCAAAAGGGATTCCGCTTCTCCAGAAATGTGACTCATCAGCTTTGGTCCATGCTTGGATTCGCTCATGGTACTCGGCAGACTGGCCAGCATGAGTTGAGCTCTTCTCTTCCACATTCTGTACTTCTCTGGTTGACTTCCGTCAAAAACTTCGAGCTTCGCCTTTTCACTCGTCTCATCATCTCCAGCAACCATGGCTAAACTCCCTGAAACCCTGCAAACAAAATGCCCCGCAGGGCTCCGCTACCACTGAGAGACCCTATGTCTCCCAGTGGTGCAGAGTCAAACCCTAAGATTTTGCTGGAAATTGAGGCGGCTGGATCAAGCCAATGTTTAGGCTTCCAATGTGTGAAACTCCATGTTCTGTCATCGGGAGTCATCTATTTCTCAGGCTGAAATATGGTAATTACTAACGTAGCTCCATCTGTTGGATCCTGAAGATCCCATTGAACCAGGTTTTGGGGTGTTGGTAAACCATCACTGCAGGCCATGAGAAAGAAACTTCCGATGATGGGTTTAATGTAGGGAGTGATATGAACGGGCTTTTGGGGATTGGTATAACCCAGAATAGGAATATTTATGTACTAACCAACCAGAAATGATGGGATCTTACATGGCTCACTTTGGTGGTTGGTCAAATAGCCCCTCCGAAAATCGTCAAGTGATGCTGCTTTGTGGAGAAATGTGAGGAACCCTGTCAGCTGTGACCGGTGATTTTTAATCGCAATGACCATGTCATCGCGGTTCTACAAGTGATGAGTATAGTCGGCATGGTCTGTATACAGTGTACTTATGCAAAGTGTTATAAAGGTTCTTCAGTTACAACCCCAAGGCCCCAAGTCCAATTCAACCGCAGTTCTGTGAAGTTAAAAACCGTCCATCCAAATCAGTAAAACATATCAAGTCGCAAGCTGTGTTTACCTGGGAAGATGGTTTATCTCCTCAAATTGGCTAAAATTGCCATGGTTTCCAGTTCAGATTTTCCCTGCAGTCCTTGTTGATCTGAAAAAATCTCTGGAATGGTAAGATATCCTGGTTAGGATTGGGGTAACTATCTCAAACTGGCCGCAAATCTTCAGGTTGGGGCAATACTATCGTCCAGATATTGTTCTGGTTGGTGGTTTGGACCATTTTTATACATTTGGGTATGTCTGAAAATGGGGTATACCCCCAAGTATAGCCATTTAGTAGGGATAATGATCATTAACCATTGGATACCATTGGGTGTAGGGGTACACTATTTTCAGACAAACCCATTTTTTATTTTCCCATTATTTTTCAGAGGGGTTGAAACATATTGAAACCACCAACCAGTATGGTCCAGATCCTGCATATCCTTTGACATGCTCAAATCCCTGCGTAGGGCTAGGGCTTTTTTACTTTCCAAAACCAAAACACCAAAAAACCCTAAAACCCTAAACCCTGAATTAAAACCCTAAATCCTAAAAACCTAAAGTCAACATCGCTGCGTATAGCCAGTGTTTTCATTCATCCTCTGACGACAAGTATATGATATCGTTTGGGTGTGTTCTTTTTTGTGTGGGCGAACGTGGGCTTTGGAGGGAACATGTTAAATCCCCAAAAAATCTTCAAAAATCCCTGAAACCAATGAACTATTAGAAAACACCCACTGATATTCCCATGTCGTTGAAGTCCATTGAAATCCCATGAGGTGTCCATCCTGAAAAATCCATATCCGTCTTTCAGGACACCTTCTACCAGAAGGAGACCTCAAAGTTGCTGAAAGGCTTGCAGGAAGATTGCCGCGTGAAGCCACAGGCGATTTGAAAAAAGGGTCCCTTTTCAAAGGGAACGATGACGTTTTGCCATGGCAATTTTGCTAGGAATAGTTGGGATGATGGTTGGAATCCCCTAAATTTTCAGCCATGTGCTTCACATATGATGCGCTCCCGTTTTGCCAAACCGCCATACCCAAATATGATCACACATTGCGTGTTATCGTTTGTTCTGAGCCTTCGTCTAGCTGACGGATTTGTGTACGGTACAGGTGAAAGGTAAATAATGGTAAATAGATATGCCAACACCATTGGTGATTTGTATATTGGGAAGTTTCGGAGTTGTTGGGAATCCAAGATTTAGATAGTTGGGGCTGACAAAACGTATTGTACGCGGCGGCACGACTTTTCTTTAGCAGGGCCATCCTAGGCCAAAGAACCATGTCTTTTGTTGACAAATCATCCCATTCATGTTTGGGCCAGGTCATCTTCAAACCATTGGCATTCACTTTTCCAAGAAATACTGAATGCTTACCCTCTGGTAAACTAACATAGCTATTGAAAATGATCATTTATAGTCGATTTACCCATTATAAATGGTGATTTTCTATAGCTATGTAAACGTTTACCAGAGGGTAAATGGTTTTAGTATACGACCAGCAAATTTACATGATGCAATGCAAGCAGGGAGGTTTACTAATCGCCAATCACCAGGTCACCATTTTCGAAATGACCGAGTTTTGGGGCTCGGTTTGTTGTTAAAATCACCATTTGATGCGTCAAAGCAGCATCTCAAAAGTGAAATCCCCGCTTTAGCTGTTTGAATCCTCACGAAATTGGACAAATCCCCATTTGTTTTGGGTTGAACCACGAAATTTAAGCTGCTTATTGATGGCTTCTTCCATTGAACCATCCATTTTTATCGCTTATTCCATTGACCCAGCCGCAACCAACTTCCACCCCCCGTGGCTCCGCCGTGCCGCCGTGCTACGCCGTGCACAACGATTAGGTGATCATTGTGGGAGCCACACGCACTGGTGCCGTCTCGGCCTTCCTCAGGAGGCACATGAACCAGACGGAGGCGCCTCTCAGACACTGTTTGGATCCATAGGGAGTCATATTCTAAAAAGTATGGTAAAACAGAGGCCCATTATAACATATTATAACTAATGACTGTAATAGTGTTAGTAAAACATTGATAATATAGTATTGTAAAACAATGTCAAACATGGTAAAACCATCATATATATATATATGCACATATAATTCGTTAATAAGTTCAAATGTTGAGGTCAGTTAATCATCGTCAATTTATCTATAGCTGGGAACATCACATGTTGCTGCTGGAGATTCATCGCCCGGATTCTGGCTGAATCTTTGGTGATTTTGGGATAGTTAGCCTTGATGGAAATAGTTGGTGATAGTACCATGGCTAGTAACTATAGTTGCCCCAACCCATCTTAAGATTGAACATGATTATTTCTCATCACACGATATGGTGCGGGTGCCAAGATTCGTGTAAATGTCCGGCCGGAAAAACGGTGGGATTTGTAGTGGGATTTGCCCGGAACCATGGGTTTGTTTGAATAGTTGGGTATCCCATTCCATCCGATCAAGAACTTCATTTCCCCCATGAAACTAAAATTCTATGGCCCCATGGGGGAATGATTGGTTGGAATGGGGGAAATGTTCCATTGGTAACCAAAATAAAAAACTTCATGATTACTGATTAATTACCATTAAAATTGTATGGTTATGCCCCATTTTCATCCATGAGACACCCAAATGATTGGTTGGAATCGTATGAGTGCCAAAATATGTTCAGATTTGATTTTCAAACACCAGTGCATTTACAGGATTTTGTAGAGTTAGAGAAAGAAACAGAACCTCGAAAAAACGTGGTTTGCAACAATTCTAGAACAGAACAGTCTTGGTTAACGGTTAATGTTATTTCGGCCCAGGATAGTTTGGATAGAATGATCATTGATATAGTTCATAGACATTATCATTATAACAATGACACACACGAGTATCTCTTGTATAGTGTGACACATGGCTAACCCCTTGTTTCTTCTAGTCAAATCAACTAGTGAAATGAATATTTTTCATGGTCAAGTCCAAATTTTTGCAGGTTATCCCTGTTGTTTTTGATGAGTAGTTAAGTTAAATCTGTTAAATCATGTGAAATCCAAATCAAAACATCCTTTTGTTCTTTTTAATCAGTTGATTATGATCTTCTCATCTATATCACCAGTTCAATCACCATTCTTCATAGGTACACCAGCATTCTTGTGGGTACCCCTATTTTTCATAGGGACTCGGAATTTTAGCAGCTAAAATCATCATTGTGGTTGGTGGTTTGGAACATTTGGATTATTTTGCCATATCTTGGGAATCACATCATCCCAACTGACGAAGTCATATTTTTCAGAGGGGTGGCTCAACCACCAACCATCATTTCTCTAGGTAAAACCTTGCATTTTTTCATGTCAGAAACGACCCCCCAAAACCAGTCGCGGCTTCTCGCCAGGTGATGCCTGTGGTCACCACCGATGCACATGTGCCACCGAAGCATTTGGAACAGGTCTTTGTCCCGACGTGACCTGGTGATGATGACTTCACATGGTTTCCATAGTCATGGGGTACCCCAGGGTTTATAGTGGAAAGTCCATTTATAGATGGATGATTATGGGGAAGCCCTATTTCAGAAGATGAGACAAGAACTGGTTGGTGGTTTGGAACATGGCTGGATTATGACTTTCCATTCATATTGGGAATTTCATCATCCCAACTGACGAAGCCATATTTTTCAGAGGGGTTCAAACCACCAACCAGGATGGTTTATAATGGAAAATCCATTTATAGATGAGTAAGGGATAGTAAGGGGAACCCCTATTTCAGGAAATCTCCACCCTTTTTACAAGCACCGGTGTTGATAAACCACTGCAAGTGTCATATGAATATCATCGGAATTCTTAGAAAATGACTGGTTGTGTATCAACAACTTGAAGATCTTGGTGACCTGAAAATGCTGGATTTAGGCCTCAATCGACCACTCTCATCCAAGCAAAGCCAGCCTTTTTCAATGGCGGTAAACAAAACTTTCTGTACATGATATGGGATATGGACTGGTCTTATCTGGTATTTATTGAGAGGGAGAATATCACCAACAAAAGGATACGGCTGGGTCTTCACCCGTTCGTGAATTCATTTTGCACGACTTTCGCAAAACGCTGATCTAAGCAGGTGAAAATTCGCTCTAGGCGGCGTATTTTTGCGTAGCCACTGAGTCATCGTAAAATGACAGCCCCAAATAGATAGAACACAGCCCTAAACAGTTTGTCATGTTGAATTTCTGGGCAAATCATTTCTTTCATGATTTTCCCAAATCAGTGTCAATGATTGTTTATTACCTTCAGCGGTGCAGCGTCCAAAACACTGCAGGTGATAGTACTACGAAAGGGTGTCAACTGGGTGCCCATCCTGGTTTTGTTGCCCATCCTGGTTTTGTTGCCTGGGTATAGTTTAATAATAATACTTTAATAGTAATACTGTATATACTTACTTTATTTTTCCATATATTGGGAATTTCATCATCCCAACTGCCGAAGTCATATTTTTCAGAGGAGTAGGCTCAACCACCAACCAGATAGTAATACTTTATCAATTTATAAATGCTTCAATTCTTTGCCATTCTGATGGCGAGGTTTTTTGGCGAAAACCCCAAGGAGTTGATGGTTAAACTGTGACAGACTACCATGAGTTGATGACGTTTGAGTATCTTAACTTTCCATCATATTCCATCTATATCTCCAGTATTCTCTTGTTAAGTCACCATTTTGGTAGGATTATCCATCTGACCAGTTCAATCACCAGTTTTTGTAGGTAAAACCACCACGATTTCCATGTCAGGAAGGGCAAGCGGCTCTTGTCGGTGCTCTACGAGGTGCTGGGCGAGGTACCAACCGTTGGAAAGAAGACCCTGATCTTCACCAACCGGCTGCCCACCTGCAAAATGGTGCCCCTGGCTGATTTCTCCCAACTTTTTCGGCAAATTTTGAGTCCCTTTTTTATGCCAAAAAATGATGGGATCCCATGACTCTCCCAATTTCCAGATGTTTTTTCAATGTTCCCAGCTTGAAAAACCCCGACAGGGGCCGAAAAAGCAGCAGCGAGTTTCGCAGGTCTTCCGAAGCCTACAGGAGCACGGCTTGGAGGTCTGTGCACTGCATGGGAAGGTGCATCCGGACAAACGCAAGGAAGCCTATGAGGCCTTCCAAGGAACAGGCGCCGCGCCGTGCAGCCGAGGGGTTGGTTGGGTCCAAGGTTCAGATTCGACTTCACCAAGCTGGGGATGGCAGTCGGCAGTTCTTGATGCCTGAAGGAGTGGAAAAACTGCTTTTTTTTTTGTCGGTTGGATGTTAGGGGAACACGGGAACACGGGAACACATGATAAAATATCAAAGTTGCAACAGGCACAGGGCATTGGTTGGGGGTGTTGATGTATGGTGACCTCCTGCAACTGTTGGATTTGTATGGATTTGTCAAGTCCAAGAATCCCTGAGGATGTGAATCAATATGTGGTGGAAATATGTGGAGACAGTCAAAAGATTCAAAAGTGGGTCCATAAATCTCTGCCACAATCACCCGATTGGTTGGTTCAGGTTGGGTTGTATGATTACTATTATACGCAAACAATCATTGTATTGATTCCACAAGGTAAAGCCATGAGCAGGTAGGGGGTATCATGTATATCTTCAGACGCAGTAGACACAGGATCACCTGCCTGTTTAATCAATGATCAATCCACGTGAGAGCAGGGTTTCAATCCAGTTGCATCCTAGATCAAGAAATTGGCCATGTATTTGATCCCTTCAACTCTCATGTTTGTTGGTGGTTCACATGGTTTTTATGACTTTCCATTAATATTGGGAATTTCATCATCCCAACTGCCGAAGTCATATTTTTCAGAGGGGTAGGCTCAACCACCAACCAGATAGTAATACTTTATCAATTTACCATCTGGTAAACGTTTACAAAAAACTATAGAAAATTCCCATTTTCATGGGTAAATCAGCTATTTCTATGGCAATGTTGGGTTTTTGTGGCCCTTGGAAGGCTCCATGGCCGCATAGCCCGCCCTGGCAAGCGCAGGCAAGGACGTGATGGTGTGCACCAACCTGGCCTCCAGGGGCCTGGATTTCAGCAATGCCACTTGGGCCGTCAGCTATGGCAGCTATGGTATAGATGGCCCATTCATAAATTCATTGATGATTTACCTATGAAAAATATAGAAATAGATGATTTACCATGATTTACCTATTAATAGCATGGTGATTTTCCCATCCGTTTTTTGGAAAAACGTTTACCAGGCCGGCGAACAGATGGGATGGGTTTCAAGGCCGGTCAAAAGTTTGGATGGTGAGTTGGCAGCTTTCTCACAGCCAGGAGGGTGATGGGATGATTGGATGATCCGGAAAACCCATGGAACACTGGAGGAAGATGGAAGGATGGGATGTTTCGGCCGACCTGTTGGAAGTGGGATTCAGGGATGTGGCCAAGCTGTGTGGCCAAGAAAGATTGATCTAAACATTCCAGATGCAAGAGTCGGGAATTTAGCCTGTAATGAAACGTTGGATTTTCTCCATGGTTTTAAAACCCATTCTTTCTATGATGTTCTCCATGAGTTTCCCCACTGCTTCCATCTTTTTCCTCATGTTTTCCCATCCTTTCTCCCATCATTGCCATGAATTTCTCCATGATTTGCCATCGTTTTCTCCATGGGAAATTGCCATCGTTGTTTTTCTAGGGATTTCCCAGTTGGAACAGGTTTGTCCCACCCTCTGGTAAACATACAAAAAGCGAACTTGAACATGGCCATCAGTCGATTTATAGTGAGTTTTCCCATGAAATTCATGGTGATTTTCCAGTTCGCCAAGGGTTTTCCCAGGTTCATCATGTGGTGATGTACGACTTCCCCTTAAACATGGCCGACTACCTGCACCGCGTGGGGCGCACCGCGCGGGGAGGCCGTGCTGGGCGGGTGACCACCATCACACCGCGGCGCTACTGGCCCTTCGTGGCGAAGATTCAGGAGATCATGGATCATCGATCAATGGTTAATGGTGATTAATAATGGTTAATATTGGATAGTATGCTGGTAATCCATTAATCACCATTAACCATTGTTAACCAATACTAACCAACTGGTTGATCATGGTTGATCATGGTTAATAATGGTTAATAATGGTTAATAATGGTTAGTAATGTTGGGTTACTATTATTGATCATATATAGCTAATTTTTAAAAATGACTGTCTGGTTGGTGGGGACTGGAACATGGCTGGAAAACATGACTTTCCATGAAAATATTGGGAATGGAATAGTCATCCCATTTGACGAAGTCATATTTTTCAGAGGGGTTGAAAAACACCAACCAGGGTTTGTTGGTGAAAAGAAACCACTTTTTCCATGGTATTTTTGACCAATTTTCACCAAATAAAAAGGGTAACATCCGGTGAACATGGATGCTACTCGTGACCCAAAGAATTTTCGATCATCGCCAGTGTCAAAATGTTCACCATTTTCTTTACCGATTTGACCAATTTTCCCATCCAATTCTTTGACACTGGCGATGATCGATGCTACTGGTGACCCAACTATTTCGACTTCACCACTTCGTTCTGCGAGGATCATCCCAGTTAGGGGATACTGAGCACGTTCCAAAAAACCACGAGATGGTTACCCGGCCTGGTAATGACAAACATAACGATGGAAAGATCCACCATGAATTATAGCTGGGTAAATCAACTATTTCGACATATTTCGACTGGGCCATTTTCAATAGTTATGTAAGTTATGTAACAGTTTACCAGTTTACCAGAGGGTAACCATTCTCTGTATAGAATTCCTCATTTTTGCGGCATACAGAGCCACTTTTTCCCTGGTTTTTTTAATCCCATCTGACTCCGTTTCGTAGAGGAGGCGACGAAGGAAGGCAAAGCCATTGAGGTTCGGAACATGTCCAGATCCTCGGAGTTTCCAGCAGTTGCAAAATCCCATGCTGTTGCTATCCACCAAAATCAGATCATTTCCTGGGGGGCTGGGATACTCAGTTTTATTTTGATGGATTTTATCTGATTTTGTCAGATAAGCATTTTTCCGGATGACTCCTCATTTCAGTTTTATTGAGTTTGATTGAGTCAGAGGAATCATCTGATCATTTTTGAGATCTTGGTGATTTTTTTTTTCGAAAAATGAAGCAAAAAGTATCCTATAGTATCATTAGTATTATTGTTTGATATGATGGGGTGAACTGGGATTTGCTGGGATTTGACTGGCGCCATAGATGTATCACTAACCAGGCCTAAAAAAAGAGGAGTTTACTTGCGGCAACTGCAACATGTAGGCTTTAGTGGGATGGGGAACCATCTTTCTAGGAGACTTCGTTGTAACCATGGGAACAAAGTTATATCACAAAATGATAGCTGATAGGCTGATAGTTATGATTTTTCTGATGATTATATTGCAGTATATATATAATTATGTATACTGTATATATATACATAATTATATACGTTAACAACATTTAAATATGTGGAGGGCGGGCCTAGTATAAAATATGAATTGGAGTCCAGATGTCATGAAGACATGATCGTGTCCAGATCCGCCAGGAATGCAATTCATTCGACACTGTTGGAAGTCTCAGTGGATTCCGTATGTTAAAATGGCCGGGCCAAGGAAAACCTTCCCAGAGGTAGTCTAAAATACCTGTTTGTATATTTTAAGATCCGTATAGTTAAATGTTGTTACCATTGAGCACGCAGGAGGCGTTTTTTTTTGATTTTCAAAAAAGCAGCAACTTGCAGCCACTTGCTCCCAGCAGCCACTTGCAGTGAGCAGCCACTTGCAGCCACTTGCCCTGGAGCACATGGCTGCAAGTGGCTGCAATTCTACTGTCATATCCAAATGAATCAACATTAGAACCGATGAGGGCCCCATCGAACATAGGCCCATCTACCCCAGGATCAATGGTATTTATACCCTTTCATATAGGCCCATCCACCCCAGAACGAATGGTATGTATAATAACATTTTCCCATACTTTAATCCAATTTAAAAAAAACGTGTGTTGGAATATATAAGAACCACATTTATATATTTAAAGTAACTTAAGTCCGATTCTTTTAATGTAAATATTTTCTATTTACTGTATTTGTATAGTTTTGGAGTTGCATTAATTATCTTTTGTCTTACTTCTTGAACAAAATAAATTATATCGTGTTTTTCTTTAAAAAACATTTTTTGGGTATTTTTTCAAAAGATAATTAATTATATTTTCGGCTTGTTTTTTTGGTACCTAGTGGTATTTTAATTTAAATTATTCTAACTTTTGCTGATTTCATATTATTCCTTTCTTCAACCAAAACCCTCTCTATATTTAAGTAATTTTTTCTTTCGAAAAATTAGCCTTTTCGAAATATATTCCAATCTATTTCTTTTTTCCCAATTTAAAGCCACATTTCTTTTCTCTAATGAAAAATCAAAAACCCCTTGTAATATATTCTTTTCTTTTTTGAAAAAAATCATCCGGATTTTTTTCAAGCAAAAAACGCTAACTGTTAGTTTGCACTCCATGCAACCTTTGCCATAGCATGTTTTGCACCTGCCAGGTCTGTCCTGCACTTTTGCTAAGGTGTTTATACATGTGGCCATACCGGCCCAATTGCCACTTGCCCACTCAGGGTGGGAAACTTTCTGACCGCCGATACATGGCTGCGCTGTCTGCGCTTTGAAAAGGGCGCTGCTTTCGCAACTTGGCTGCGGACTTCGTGTGCCTCAGCTAGAGACTTGGTTTGGACCTCTGCACCAATCTCACATTGGTAGCGGAGCGCTGCCTGATCCTTGGAGCTTTGGTTCTTGGACTTCTAGCTCTACTGGGTCCTGGCTGTGGAGCGCTTCGGAAAGAACTCCTGGTCGAGCTCTACTGTTTGATCAACCCTAAGGGCATAGACCAGCTCACCTTTTTGGAGTTCACCTTGGACGTTGTGGAGTATGGCTTCGGGATCTGCTAAGCAGGAAACCTCAGCTGATGCTACCACCCGTGACAGTTTCATCCCCTTGTTTTCGGGCCAACCTGCCGACTACAAGGAGTGGCGGAAACGAATCCACATCTACTACAGGAAGATGGGATTGACGAAAAGGAATGGAGAAGCCGTGCTGAACATCATCGGCAGTCTTCAAGGTTCGGCATGGAGACTTGTGGAAGATTTCAATTTGGATGAATGTGAAAAGGAATCTGCCTTCGAGAGCATCATCAAGCTCTTAGATGGTCACTTTGAGTATGATACCAGAGTGCAGTTGCCCAGCGACTTTGATGGCTACTTTGGACTTCAGAGAAAGCCTGGTCAGACGCTGTTGGCCTATGTCAGCGACCATGCGGAGCTGCACAAGAAACTGGAGAAGCATGGTGTCAGCCTTCCGACGGCAGTGCAAGGATGGCACCTACTTCGAAAAAGTGGCCTCACCAAAGAACAACGGCAACTTGTCAATTTGAGGGCACCGCAACTCGAGCTGACAAAAGTTGTAGAAGCTATGTACCTGATTTTGGGTCAGGACTACAAGCTTGGAGCTGCCCCTGCTGGACATGACCGCCGATGGCACCGTGGGAAAGGTGGTCGAGCCTACTTTGGTGATGAGCTGGACGATGATGGCGACGCTGATGATTGGGATTGGGACTCACAGTCCTACTATGATGCCTACTGGGAATGGGATGACAATGCCAGCTTCGATGAACAAGGCTTCGATGATGACGCCGCCTACTACCAGACTGGTGACTGGGAAGCTGAATCGACCCTTCCTGATGATGGCACTACGTCGACCTTCGATGTGGCTTCATGGGATGATGCCTATGCAGCCTACCTGGATGCAAGGAAAAGGTTCAATGACCTGAAGTTGAGCCGTGGCTACTTGCCCATTGTTGCCCTTCAGGACTCCAACTTGCAGCCTGGCACTTCCTCGCCTTCAAGGAGTTCTGGCGGTGGATCGCCCAAGGGCAAGAAGGGCAAGGGAAAATCGAAAGGTGGTAAGCCCAACATGTACAAGTACGACAAGGCGCCTATGAAACCTGCACAACCACAACAACGAGCCCAAGCTGCCCTGCAATGCCTTCGATGTGGCCAGAAAGGGCATTTTGCCGCAAACTGCCCTGTCAACAACCAGAAGAGCAGCCCCAACAAGAGACCTGCTCCTGCCACTGAGTCGATGGCAAAGCATGCCGAGGGAGCCCTGGTGACCTTCATGGACAAACATGGGCATGAGCGCACCGATGTTGCGATGCTTGACCCTGGTGCCTCAGCTTTCCTTTGTGGATATGGACCCATGGGCAGGTACCTCAAACACCTGCAACAACTTGGCTACCCTGTGGAAACCATTTTGTTTTACCGTTGTGATCGGAAATTTCATTTTGGAGGAGACGCTGAAAGCGTAGCCAAGTGGGTCGCCAGAATGCCAATGTTTGTGAATGGCCTCTACGGTTTTGCCCAGGTTTTCATGGTCCCTGGTGAAACGCCTATGCTGTGTGGCCGGCCAATCATACAACAACTTGGCATAGCTTTGGACTTTTCTTCTGAGAAGATCAGGTATGGTGATGGTCAATGGATGCCTGCGCTGATGGGTCTGCATGGAGAGTATCTGCTGCCTCTCTCCATGGACTTTGAGATTTTCCATGCAGCCCTTGAGCCCCACTTTGACTTGCAGTTGGCCTCACCTGGCGAGGTGGACTTGAATCCTCGCACCTTCCTGGAGTTCAACGGTGAAGAGATGATTTTTCAAGCTCATGACCATGGCGATGAATGGATTTTACCTGGCACAGTCAAGTGCCAACGGCATCTTTTTCAAACCATGGATGCCCGCCTGACTGAGGAGCTCAATGACATGCATGGCTACATCACCTCCGAGCTTCATGCTGGTGATCGTGGTCGAGTGATTTGGGAAGTTTATGGTGGTCGCAGCCGCATGGCACAGATCGCCGAGAGCCTTGGAGCCACCGTGAGGGTGTTTTCTCTCGACACTGGTTGGGATTTTGATCAACCTGCTCACCAACGTGCGTTCTTGGCCTTGCAGGAGAAAGAGGTCCCTGACGAGATCTACCTTTCACCAACTTGTGGACCCTGGTCACTGATGCAAGGACTTGCAGCACGAACACCTGAACAACAGCAACAACTACGTGAACTTCGAGAGTGGCATCATCAAGTTCATCTTTGTTTTTGCAAAAAGGGTGCACCTCAAGCAGATCAAGCAGGGTGGTCACGCCCATCTGGAACAACCTGCCTACGCTCGATCGTGGCGTACCAGTGCTCTTTCAAATCTTCCTGGACTCTACTGCAGATTTGATCAATGCCAATATGGTTGCACCTGCCAAGACACCGACTTGGTATGGAGGTTGGTTCAAAAGCCAACTGGTCTGCAGACCACAAAGATGGCCGTGTACAAGGAGTTCCAACGGCGATGTGCTGGTGATCATCAACACTGCCGGCTTGAAGGAAGTGGTCCTGATGTTGGACGTCGGACGCGATACCTCGAGCACTACCAGCCCACTTTAGCTTCCACACTGGCTGCCTGCTTGATGATGGATGAGTTGCCAACCATCTCTGACTTTGTTGGAGCCGCTGACGATGAGAAGAAACATGTTGGCCGCATCATCCAGCTGCTCACAAACAACCGCCAAGAGGCTGTTCGATGCGTTCAACGTTTGCATCGGAACTTGGGACACCCGTCCATGGAGGCTTTGGTGGAAACCCTGGAAAGCCGTGGAGCGAGCGATGTGGTCTTGGAAGTGGCTCGCAACTTTTCATGTGCCTCATGTGAACGGTACAAAAAGCCCGACAGTGTGCCACCAGCTGTGTTGAACGATGTCAAGGAGTTCAACCATGTTTTGCAAGCGGATGTGATGTGGGTAAAGGTCAAAGACCGCAAGTTCCCCATTTTGAGCCTGCTTGATCAGGCCACTCGCTATCAAGCTGCTGG